GCCTATACCCGCTGTGGTAACCGAGAGAGCAGTATGTCAGATATTTCTTTTTTCAACCAACTTCTAAGGTAACTTTTTGAAAGTTACCTTAGAACTGTTTTTTAGGAGGACAGATTTTGATGATTCTTTTTTATTTTCTTATTTGGAAGCTGGTGTTTTCTCATCTCATAGCAAGAGTCGCTATTTATTTAAATGATTTTATGGAGTGAATTTTCTATGCCCAATGTGTTCTTCTGTGCTTCTGTATAAAATTTGCCACAAAGAGAATATGTCCAGTAAAGTTTTTTTACCAGTGAAAATCCTCAAATTAAAAGAAATACCTTAACCTTGTACTAGATTTTCTGAAAGAGGCATTACGGACAAAAGGAAAAACATAATTCAAAATCTGTGTCCATTAATGCCTGCTAATTGCAGACTCTTTTGGGAAAATTTGTGTGTTAATAATAATGTTGAAAACTTAGCAAACGAGGAATAAGGCACAGAAAATTAAACACTGTAATTAAATGATAATAGATACGATCAGTGAATGTGATAAAATGTAAGCTAGTTTTTGAAACAGAATAAGTTGGTATAATCTTCCAGGTAACACTGATTCTAAAAGTTGACTTATCAGTGATTCTTAATTATATTTAAGTATTGTTTTTCATTAAGGTGCTTTTTGGAGAAGTCCTTTTGAACAATTTTATGTTAAAAAGCTTTTTCATGTTGTTTGTAAAATAATGAGAATAATTTTGTGCCAAATAACACTATAATTATAAACATTATAATTTTTGATCTCTATAAATAAGTCTTTAAGTTTTGCTAAGAAGTATATTTTTAGAGAAGTTTTCTATTTTCAATAATTGTTATGGCAAATAATAAGAACCAATATGTGATTTTTGATCTTACTGATAAAGTTTTATAAATAAATCATGTAAGTTAACTACATTTTTGTTCTTTTTTCCACTATTTAATGCATACTGCTCATCATGTTCTAACAAAAATATAAAAATGCTACTTTTAAAAGCAATAACATCCTTTAGTGTGCAATGAAATAATTAAAAAAATTAAAACCTTAGTGAAAGGGCAGTATTGTACTAACTACTGTTTTACGTAGCTATTTAAGTGTATTACCATTTTATCAAAACCCCCTTTCCTGACTTCTGCCCCGTCTGCATCCACATGACCAGCCTTCAACATCACAGACAAATGTTAATGAAGTTATAGTATATAAGAATAGAATACCATAGAATCATTTTTAACACATAGATTACAAAACCTTTGTCCTGGGGGAACCAGCAAGAAACCCTGTGCGACTTTTTTTTGAATTATTGTATACAATTAGTATGAAAACAGAAACAGCATGGTAGTGATCACCCCATTGCCAGGGGTTATTTATCAATCATGTACACTTTAGTAGCATAATAAATCTTTATTAAACAATTTTTGATTAATAAAAATTTTAAACTTTTTGATACATAAGGCCTGCATATTTTCTGGGGCTTTATTGCCCCATGATGGAATTACTGGCTCTTTGGACTCGAGGATATCACTAACTTGTGCTTGTTTCTAGTATTTACAGAATATACATCACTATTTTTACACAAAACTATGTTTTTTCTTGTGTACATACATTAAATTTAAAAAAAAATTTATAATTACAAAATTTTTTTTGTAAAAGTTTTTTGGCGGCTCCGTGGCACAGTGGCTTAGCAATAAGTCACAACGCTAAGGGCCATGAATTAGAATCCCTCACGGAACAAATATTTGTATGGCCTACAAATAATTATCCCAGGTCTGGATGTTTGTCCTTGTGAATTTTATGTATGTAAACTGACCTCACGATACAGGAGAAAATCCTAGTGTGGAGGTAACATTTTTAAAAAAAAACTATCAAACTTATCAAATATTTAATTCCTTATATTTTAGTAGCTAACAATATTTTCTAACAATTTGCTTAGTTGAGAAGCAAATATAGTCTAGTATCTGAATATCTTATACTAAAATATATAATTTTACAACATTTATTGCAAATGTCTACATTGTAAATTCCAATTTGGAAAAACTAATGTCTAAATTAAACATTTTCAGATAAACCGACGAAATATGATACTACCCTAAGAATTAGAAGTTGTTACAAAAACATGCGAGAAAACTTAAATTTTAATTAAAGAAGTCTAGAAAAACTATAAAAGATTTTAGGACTCCTCTATCAAATGCAGAATAAATGAGTAATCAAGTAGCATTTGAGAAGATCACCAAAAAGATTACATTTGCAGCGAAGGTTTTGTTATAGTTGTTTAGAATCATTTATTGTAAAAAATATTATTTTTGTACTTTGTTTTGTTATAGCTGTTAAGAATTGTATCTCATAAAAAATATTTTCTTAGTTTGTATTGTGAAAGCTGTTAAGAATAACTTATTATAGAAATATTGATTTCATAATTTGTATTGTCTAAGCTGTTAAGAATCATTTATTGTTAAAATATTAGTTTCATACTTTGTATTGTGAATGCTGTGTTATATGAATCGTTTATTGTAAAAATGTTAGTTTGTGTGTGGCGCAGTAAGAATATCCACCAGTCCATATCATCCCGTAAGTGTCATTAGAGGCGATAGAGGGAAACAAATCAGAAGATGGACAGCAGTTCCTTCCTAATAACGACTAAATTTAAAAGCTGCGGTTGGCAAGCTGCTTGCCAAGCGTTGCAACTATGGTAAATATCTCTTCTATGAGGCTATTGTTGAAGCTGTGTTCTGATGAATCAGTTATTTAATTAAACAAATATTATTTCATATTTTCTATTGTCAAAGCTGTTACGAATAACAAGAGGCCAAGCCCTCTTTTTATCTTTTCGCCAGTTAGATTATTAGTTGCCGGCTTTTTAAAAAGGAGTAGGCTGTTTTCTTGAAGGTCCCTAAGTCGTATCGGTCCGGAAAAATCGCTGGTGGTAATCGATTCCACAAGGAAGTTGTGCGAGGAAGAAAACATCTTCTAAATCGCACAGTGGTGGACCGCCAATCATCGGTGTGAAGAGCCAAGAGGGGCATCGACGGAAACCTTTTTTTTTTATTGAAGAGGGGGCAAACGAGCATGCGGCTCACCTGATGGTAAGTGACTACCGCCGCCCATGAACAACCGCAACACCAGGGGAATTGCAGATGCGTTGCCGGCCTTTTAGAAAGGTGTAAGCTCTTTTCTTGAAGGTTCCTAAGTCGTATCGGTCCGGAAAATTCTCTGGTGGTAATTGATTCCACAAGGAAGTTGTGCGAGGCAGAAAACTTCTAAATCGCACAGTGGTGGACCACCAACCTAATATCCGTCCGGATGAGAGGTTAGCAGAAAGTCCAACAGGGAAGGTGTATGATCCTCCACATCTGGAATCTGCGTAGGCGAAGTAACCAGTTGTGTCAGACCATATGCCAAAGCATTTAAGGCGAGGTGTATAGACAACTTTTATGTATTTGAGGGGGTGAAGTAGATGAAGTAGGGGACGAGTAGTCCCGCCCACTGCGGGGTGCACACCGCGTGAATCTCGCAGACTCTCGACGTAAACTAAAATGTACAATCGGTCCAGCATGCCGCTGTCCGCCTTTGCACCGCGTTTCCGTGAACGTCCGGTGGTTCCAATCCCATGAGACGTATATTTTGTATTCGTATTTTTAAAATGTTTCTACATTTATTTTCATATTTAAAATATGTATATATTTTTGTTTTCTTATTTTTAAAATATGTATATATTTTACTTTCTTAATTTTAAAATAATCAATAATTGTTATTTTCTAGAAAAAGTTATCGAGAAATTTTGTAAAGGATTCATCAAATGAATAATAAATTAATTCTTAAATAAAATGACTTTGTACCAGAATGGTCAATCATAGAAATGGCCTATTCTCGAAACAGCAAATTGTAAAAATTGTGAATTTATAAAAACAATCATTTTTATTCCTTTAGACATATTTTGCTTCAGAATCAATAGTAAACCATTATGAACAAATTTTACTATAGTGCTAGCCCTAAAATAAAAAAAAAACAGCTGTTTCATAATTTTTTTCCCGAGTTAATAACTTTTTTGCATAAAACGACACATTTTGGGGATTTGTGTTATTTTTAAGTTATTTGGGTTATTTGAAGAATACATAAAAATTAAACAAACTAATTATTTTAATATAATTTAATTACGAGTATTTTGATGTATTTACACATACGGAGCGAAATATAAATATATAAATTGTGGGAAGAAAAATAATTCAAATCACAACTCTTCAAAATTCAGTCTTCTACTACAACAAGCGACGTTTCCTTTGTTGTCGTCATTTGATGTGACTACTAATGACGATTCTTTTTCTCGCAGTGGCATTCCACGCGCTCGCCGAGAATCGACTATTTCAGGCAAAAGCCAGGTCATGAAAAATGACACCAGCTTTTCCTTCATCTTTTTTTCCCAAAAATCGTCATCTCTTTTTATAATTTCTATTTTTAGTGGCTTATCACCGCTACACATAGCAAACAAGCATTTTTCTCTACGTGTTATGTGGAGCTGCCCTTGAATTTGATAGTACCAATTACTATTTTTGTTCACTTCAATCAGTTCACGTTTTTTATTATATTTCCATATCTGTATTTTGTTTTCCTTTATACATTCTTCTAGACCATTTTTGAACGCCACTAAAGGACATTTCACTTCAACTACTGTGTCTTCGCCTATCAAACCATCGGGCGTTGCTCCAAGAAAGGCAAATTCGTGGTCCACAAACAACCCGCTCGGCTCAATGGTGACATTTTCTTGGATGGCAAGTTGTTGTAAAGCGAGATGTTCATTTTCGACGCCATGTGCGATTGCCGCTATATTACCGAGATTAAATTTATATAAAATATTTTCCACTAACTTGGATTTGCTAGTAGTCTCTCTTCTTTTCACTACTAATCCAAAATTCGATGCTGTTAGCATATTTTTTCGTAGTTCTACCCAGTCATCGCTATCTCTCTGATTTATAGTAGATATTTGTATTTTTTCTTTGTCTGAAGTTAGTTGTTTTAGATTTTGAAGGAACGATTCTTTAGCGGCATTTAATTCATCCAGTGTGAAATCTGGAGTAGTACTCTGAGCCCCATAATCATGTTGAACAGCATTTTCTTTCTTTAGCATCCGATTTTTTTTATGAGGATTTGCTTTGTATAATTTTCTTTTCACCACTCTTCGTTCTTCAAACTTTTTTAGGATGCTTTTGGGACTTTTCCCTAAAATTTTTTTATGAAGTAGATGTCTTGGGTGGGAGTTATTAAAAGAAACGACTGCAGCATTGCAACGCGCGCGGTAACCCCGACGAAGAGAGAAATTAATTCTCTTTCCTCCCACAAACTTTGCAATCACACTGTTGAAGCGCTCTACTGCATTGGTATCCACGTCTTCAAGCATGCTTCTTGATTTTAAAAGTAATGACTGGAGTATTGTCTGTATCCTGAACCAAAAAATTGTGTTTTTTATTTCCATATTACTCTGTTGTGTCTTTTCCTTAGAACAGTAATAGTTCTTGCAATTTTCATGATTCCCGAAAGCATGTAGAATAGAATTTTGTATTTCGTTCCTAAAACTTGCTACTGCTTCCGTATTGTCTTTTTCTGGCTTATACTCTTTTATTGATGCAATGACAACCTTTCGGATACTCAGAATTTTTGATTCAGTCAGCATCTTTCTGTGCACCAAGGCATATTTTGTGTCTTTGGCTACAGCCCTCAACTTATTGCACATGTTACGCAGCACATGGTTTCGGCATTCAACTTTTTGAACGGTATGATTCTGGTAAGGATTACGCGCCAAGATTTTCGCATATGTAGCTGAGTCGCCGTCAGCAATTATCCTGCCATAAATAACATTGTACATCGATACAGATGTTTCAAATCCTTGGCAAATTATTTCGGACTCCATTCCGCTAGATGCCCCCGTGTAGTTTTTGAAGCAAACGTGTTCTGGTGCAGCAATGTGTTTTTTCTCTGCACGAGCACATACAAGGCAGTATTTGTTTCTAATGCCTAGAAACAACACTTCACCATATCTGCGACCTACGATTGCTGCAGCGCCGGACAATGCCTTATAATTATTTCCGTAGGATCGCGATGACCAACAGCCGTCGGCATATACGTCTATTAGAGGTATGCCATCTTTGCTCAATGTTCCTTGAGCTAGCGCTGCATCACGCTCACGCATAGCTGCTGCCGCCATGGATTCGACAGATGTTGACTCCCATTTGTCGTAAACTTTGTTTTGAACTTGAGCATAAGTTTTTTTCGTAAATATGGGTATGTCCATACATGCTGTAATTTCTTCAAATTGCGAAAAACCGATACCAGCAGAAGTAATTCCTGTAACGGCACCCACGTTAGTGTTGACATTATGTATACTCGATAAATCTTCGCTTGTGACAATAAAGACGTCTTTACACATATTGCATCTAAACTTGAATGTGGAGATCAAGCCAATCCTTTTTTCTCCTATGAGTGATAGTTGTGAGAAACCGCAATTGAACAAAGAACTGTGGCCGGATATAGCTTGAAGCTGTTTGATAAAATACATAATGTCAACGACTCTTCGACCATGAACTGGTGGGTATATATTATTTTCTTGAGCTTCGGTCAACGGTTCATCGAATAGCACATCGCCAGTGATTTCTCTGAAATAAAAAAAACGTGTTATTTTTTATTTTATTATAAAGAAAAAAACAAATCATGACTGGTGGGTATATATTATATAATTGAGATTCCGTTGACGAATAAAAAAACGACATTTTGTTTTATTTTATTACAAATAGAGCCGTGGTAGCTCAGATGGTTAGCGCTCACTGTAAGTTCCACAGTACGTAAGCAACCCGGGTTCAATCCCCGTTGGCAGCAAAGAAATTGTTAATTGCAATTATAAGAGCTGATTTACCACGTGCTCGTCGGTGAAAGAAAACATCGTGAGGAAACCTGCATATCTGAGAAATAAGAAAAAAATATTTCGAGGACATGTGAAGTTCGTAAATGAATTAGGGCAGCGCGGTGGATATTTCCTTGCCCAAAAACCCTCAGAAATGAAAGGAGGCCTGTGCCCAGCGGTGGGACGTATATATCATCAATATCATTATCATTTATATATGCTGTAACTACTTTTAGTCATGGCAGGTACGCGGTGTGTACAAATACAATACGTGGACAAAAAAGTGGGTGTAGACAATTATCTACACCTTAGCTGAAAACCTACGGTTCGGTAGGGTTAGTCTCCCTGTGTTATAATATCTATTATTGATTCACAACAATTGGGCTGAAAGTCGTGAAGTTTGTCACGCCATCTCTTTGGAAGTCTACCACGACTCTCTGTCGACTCCCACTGTGTGACAAGCTTCACCCATCTATTGATACTTACTCATCATAATTTGATTTTGAATTGGCTCCTGGAGTCACAATTGAAAGTGATGTCTCTGGGTTTTCGTGCTCAGAATCTTTTTGTAATCTAAAATTTAAACAAATAAGTTTTTAAACTAAAATACATGGTTATATTTACATCATGTGTTTTTTTTAGAAAATGAGGAATTACAACAATGTTCATTTTGAGTAATTTGTATAAACATCATGTATGTATAAACTTACTCATGAAAAGTTTTCTCCGATGGTTCATCTACTGACGGATTGCTCGACAACCGTTTCTTTTTACTATAAAGAAGAAACAATAAAATAGCATTATGATTATTTCAAAAATACGAAAATCAGAAAAATATATATAATTACTGAAAATTTATAACAAACAAGAAAAAAATAAAAAACCATTACCTCAAATAAGAAAATCAGCAAAAAGTATACTTATATTATGTAGTAATAATTTAAAATAATTAAAAATTGTGTACAACCGACTTCAATATAAATTATTAACAATAATTCGAAATCTATTGGTCAAACCTTAATCAAATTTATATGAGACCATATGTGATGCACCAGCTTTCAAATAAAAAAAGAATCATCGAAATCGGTTCACCTAGTAAAAAGTTATGAGGTAACACACATAAAATAACATACAGTCGAATTGAGTACCGTTTCCTTTTTGAAGTCGGTAGAAAACTAATTCAATGCACGGGATCGAACCCGGGTTGCTCGAGTATTGTGAAGCTAACAGCGAGCGCTAACCATCTGAGCTACCACGGCTCTAGACCAAACGAGCTACGGATATGTTTGTCAAAATTACGCATGTATAGATAATCTATATAAACAAAATAAAGTGCACAAAAAGTGGGTGTACTTACTTTACAACTTCCATCATGTGTTTTTGTTTCATCGAATATTGTTCGCGACGGTTTAAAGACTTTAAGCAAAAAGTGATTAAAGAATATTAAATTGTTTTAAAAAGTGAAATTGGCAACAAAATCGAATAAATTGTGTTTAATATAGTTTTACAGTATGTTTACAACTCGTAATATATTTGTATAAAGTATCGTTTTAATAATAAGTTGATATAAACGACTTTAAACATTAAATAAAATTTCGACCAATCACAGCGCAGCATATCGTGGAACTTTCTAGAAGTTAATTAACTGCGCAATAGTTTATATGAAAATAATGAGAATATTTTTATGTTCTGAAAGAATTGTTATAACGATATTTAGTTAGCATATGGTATATAGATTGAAATAAGTAAATAGATAATTTATGTAAATAAACGCATTTGAGAAATATAGTAAAATTAAAGAATTAATGTGCACTTTTGTTATGTAAATTTGGTACATTTTGATTAATAACTTTTTTGAATGTAAATATATCAAGTAACCCTTATCACATAATGATAAAGGACCAAAATGTCTATTTTATAGTGTATAGCGTGTTAATGTAAAAATTAGCATTATATAGAAAAATTGCGATTTGTGCAAATTACGTAATGAAAATGTTTCATAATAAAAAGGCAAAACCGGAAATTGGCAAGCGGCTCTCTATAGAGTATAGCCGAAGTCTACCTTATAGGGGCAAATCACAGTAACATTGTAGTATGAAGAACTACCAGTAACAAGCAGTAGTATCCGGTAGTAGCTGAAGTGACTAGTAGCAGAACACAGTGAAAAGTTAAAGTGAAATAGAAAAAGTTTAGCTAGCCGAAAAAGGTCGTAACTGAAAAATCGCAGTTACACATAGTCGGAAAAAGTGGCAACTGAAAATTCTCAGTTGCATATAGTAAAATAGTGTCAGCTAGCCAAAAATAGTGGTAACTGATATTCGCAGTTACATATAGTGAAAAAAGTGTTGGCTAGCTGAAAAAAGTGGTAACGGAAATTTCGCCGTTACATATAGGTAGTGAAAAGTGTTAGCTAGACGAAAAAAGTGGTAACTGATATTCGCAGTTACAAAAGTGTTAAATTCAACTAATCTTAGTTGATTAATAGCTGCTAGTCAGTAGTGTTAGAAAACCAGCTGCTACCAATAGAAATTTTGGATACTACCAATAGAAATTTGTTACTTTCAATAGATATTTAAAATTACCAATAGAAATAGTAGAGAATACCAATAGAAACTTGTTACTGCCAATAGAAATTTGATATTACCAACAGATATTTTGAAAATACGAATAGAAATTTTAAAAAACCAATAGAAATTTTAATATTACTGTGTGTTTAATTAAATCTGTGTTTTGAAATATATAGTGAACAATCATAGTTGAAAAACAGTGTTAAATAAATAAATAAGTTATAATATTTCGTGACTAATTAATCAGTCGAACCGCTGGCCACTCCCTTGCTATTTTAATTTATAAATCGTGCATTTTTAATTCTGAACCTCAGTCCACAGTTCTCCAACAGCATACACAAAGGCGGTAGTGAAAGTATCCACCGGAACCTATAGGTGTAGGACGTGAGCGGCTCGCGGAGTATCTTCGACAACATTTACTCCGGAGAGTTACGCCCGTCCGGCACATTCGTTGGTCCTTCGAGCCGGATCCCTCATCCGTTTGTATTTCGGAGCCGGATACATAGACACTACCGTATTAAAGTCAGCAGAATTTTCAGAATCAAGATGCCGATCACTCGTTCGCAAGGAAGGGGAGCCATGGCGTGGACCGTCGGTCTGGAAGGAGGCCCGTCGGACAATACCGACGCCGTCCGCCACCAGATGCCACCACGCTCACCATCGACCAAAGAGGGCGTTGAGGCGCCACCTTGCCCCCGCGATGGGGGGGTACTCCTGCCCGGGCCGGCCGCTACAACCGGTACACCGAAGCAGAAGAAACATATAGAGGGCAACGATGACATTCGATGTGCATCACCGCCAACAGTCCGGGAAGACTCCCGCACCGAAGAGCCACCCAGGGGCCACCGAAATAAAAGTATAAAGTCAAAAGGGACTATTCGGCCCAATAGAAAAGTTTTGAAGGCTCGTGAAGAAGTGCTGAGAATTAAATTGGAACTCGCACAAATTTCCTTGCAAATGGCTGAGGAAGAAGATGATTCGGACAACTATGATGAAGATGGTCACTCTAAAAGCGAGTACGTCCGATCTTGGCTCGAAAATAGCGTAGCCAAGCAAAAGCCAACTCATGGCGTCGCCACCGGAGGGGAGGCCCCACTAAACAAAACCGTCACAAGGCCACCCCCGGAGGTTGTCGACCTCAGTGAGCCGCAGAAGAAGTTCACAAACCATGGTTCAAGGGTTGATGAAGAAAGGGGGCTCCTACCAATCGTATCAGAGCCCACCTACCAGGATCACGATCCGGAAGAAGTAACCAAAAATCCTGTGCCACTAAAAATTAGCCAGGAATCGAAGGTTGATGAAGACAGGGAGCTCCTACCAGCTGTATCAGAGCTCACCTACCAGGATCCCTATCCGGCAGACGTTACGAAGAATCCCCAACGAAGCCTAACCAGGCATCTGTCATAAATGAAGACAGAGGGCTCCGACCATTTATATCAGAGCTCACATCCGCTATAGCCGCACTCGCTGACAAACCAAAACCAGAGAGTGCATCGTCGCATACTTTCGCAGCGTCGAAAGCTATAATGACACTGCCGTGCTTTAGCGGAGCACATACTGAATGGCTATCGTTCCGTGCCATTTATGAAACAACCCGAGGCTACTTCAACGATATCGAAAATACGGCAAGACTACGAAGAAGTTTACAGGGAAGAGCCTTGGAGACAGTTAGTTCGGAACTCATCGGGCATGCTAAGCCAGATGAGATCATGCGAGAACTGGAGCTACAATTTGGGCGTCCAGACTCATTTGCACAAGCTGAGACCGAGAAGTTACGAGGATTGCCACGCTGTACAGAAGCGCCTAGAGATATTTGCACATTCGCAAGCAAAGTGAGGGGAAGTGTCGTCACTATACGGGCACTCAAACGAGACCATTATCTCATCAACGCAGAGCTGCTACGACACCTCACAGACAAATTGCCCAATTCTATACGGGCACAGTGGTATAAAGTTTATACCGAAAAATACGACTCTAGGCCAGACCTCGGTTCTTTCAGCGAGTTTATCACCGAACAAGCTCGCTACTGTAGTGCATTTGCGCCCCCCGAAATCATAAACGGGGCGCAGAACAATCGTCCAGTACATAGGACACACACGGCTACCACCAAGCCGTCTCCGAAGTGCAGAGTGTGCCAAAAGGAAGGCCACTACGGATCCGACTGCAGAAAATTTAAAGAAGCGGATACCGACAAAAGATGGGAACTCGCAAAACAATATAATTTATGTTTCCGGTGTTTGCGATACAAAAACCAAACACACCAATGTAAAACCACGAAGTGTGGAATAAAAGGATGCACCGCGACACACAATAGACTTCTCCACCATTATAAAAAGGAGAAAACGGAGGTCACACAAATAAAACCTCAGGAAACAGTTGCAAATTCATTCGCCGTGTCAAAACATCACGCTTATTTAAAAATAATACCAGTCCGAGTAATTGGACCGGCGGGAGCTGTAAATACACACGCCCTGCTGGATGATGGGTCAACAGTCTCATTAATGGATGAGGAAATAGCCAAACAAATTGGAGCAACAGGGCGGTTGGACCCCTTTAAGATCACCGCCATCAGGAACAATACCCTTGATTCGCCGAACTCCCGACGAGTCAAAGTTTCGCTCAAGAGTCTCCACAGGAAAAGGGTGCAATTCAGAGCACGCACGGTCGCCAGCCTAAACTTGGGGCCACAGACTGTGCGTGCAGTAGATATAGAAAAGTGTAGACATTTAAAAGACCTGAAGGAGCAATTAATATATGACTCCGGCAACCCGAGGATCTTAATAGGACAAGATAATTGGAGACTCTTGATAGCCACTAAAATTCGCAGAGGTCCGCCGCACCAACCAATCGCCTCGCTCACAGAGTTAGGATGGGTGCTACACGGGGCCCACACTAAAGCCCCGTATCAGCGCGTCCACGCGGCCAATGAGCTGCACACGAGCGAGGAGTCCATAAATGACCAACTCCGCGACTATTTCGCGCTGGAGTCTCTCGTAATCAATCCGAGAAGACCAGACTCTGATCCAGAGAAGAAAGCTGAAGACATACTAAATAACAGCACCCGTCAGTTGGAAGACGGGCACATAGAGACGGCGCTTCTCTGGAAGAAGAAAGATGCCGAAATGCCTGGCAATTATGAAACAGCCATAAAAAGGCTCGTTTCAATCGAGAAAAAATTAGATCGAGACGAAAATCTAAAACAGAAATACAACGAACATATGAACTCCCTAGTACAAAAGGGATACGCCGAGATAGCACCAAAAACCAATACACCAGGAAGGACATGGTACCTACCCCATTTTGACGTTCACAACCCGATGAAGCCAGAGAAGTTCAGAATAGTGCATGATGCCGCAGCCAAAACAAAGGGGGTGGCATTGAACGACTTCCTGCTCACGGGTCCAGACCTACTGCAGTCGCTACCAGGGGTCATGATGCGTTTTCGTCGCCATAACGTCGCTGTCTCGGCGGACATCGCCGAAATGTTTATGCAGGTAAAAGTTAGACCCGAAGACAGAGATGCCTTAAGATATCTCTGGAGAGGGAATCGACGTAATGAGGCGCCCCAAGAATACAGGATGACGTCGATTATTTTCGGTGCAGCTAGTTCACCCTGCACAGCCATATACGCAAAAAACTGGAATGCTAAAAAATATGTTGAAAAATACCCAGAAGCCGTAGAGGCGATCATCCAAAATCATTACATGGATGACTATCTTGACAGTTTCCAGTCAGTAGAAGATGCGATGAGAATATCAAAGGAAGTACGCGATATACACAAAAACGCGCACTTCACCTTAAGAAAATGGGTTTCCAACGCGCCCGAAATTGTGAAAGAATTGGAACCTGACCGCGAGGCAACTGAGTCAGTTGACCTGAGCAACAAGGAAAACGAAGAAAAAATACTCGGACTAATCTGGAAACCGAGTTCCGATCAGCTGAGCTTCAATCTAAAGCTCGCTCGACTTCCGATCGATGTGCTCCATAAAAAACCAACCAAGAGGGAAGCACTAAAAATAGTGATGTCGCTGTATGACCCGCTCGGCCTCGCCTCCCCAGTTACAATTCGAGCAAAGCAAATACTGCAGGAAGCATGGAGACGAGGAACAGACTGGGACCAGGAGTTGGACGAAGACCTAACTGGACAGTGGTCCGCGTGGATCCAACACCTAGAACGACTTAAATTGGTGAGCATACCAAGATGCTACCCAGGATTCAGCGACGCATGTTCACTACAAGTCCACGTGTTTACCGATGCCAGTGAGAGCGCCTACGAAACGGCAGTCTACTGGAGGACAATGACACCTGATGGGAAGGTACACGTGAGCCTCGTCATGGCCAAGGCGAAGGTAGCCCCTCTCAAAGTAACATCCATACCTCGCCTTGAGTTACAAGCCGCCGTGATGGGAAGTCGCGTAGCTGCTGCCGTCATCCAGGAGCATCGCGTAAAGCCCGAAGCTGTCACATATTGGACTGACAGCAAGACTGTCCTCACATGGATACAAAAAGGGTCCAGAACTTATAAACCTTTTGTTGCGCACCGAATAGCGGCAATCGAGGACAATTGTAAAGCAGATGACTGGCGCTGGGTACCTACTAAACTAAACATAGCTGACACCGCCACGAGGGACGTACCACCCAACTTCGACTCAAATCATGAGTGGTACTGCGGCCCATCATTTCTGTACAAAGAACCGTCAGCATGGCCAACCGAAAGACCCACGTTATCCGAACCCACCGGTGAGGAAAAATGCCTCACCATTACAGAATCACATAGACCGGAACTTCAAAACCGGCGGGAGGCCCGTGGACGAGGCCCCATCTCCAGGGTGGAAGCTGTTTCCCCGGTGCGAACGGACAGATCCGCACTGTGGAGGTACGAACCGCGAACGGCCTAATCAAAAGGCCAACCAAGAAACTCGTGCCGCTGCCGAAGTAGATGCAACGTCGCTCACCGAAATGGATGCAGCGCCACTACGATGAGATCTTCGCGACGCTGCACGGCGGGAGAGATGTTCGCGACGGTTTAAAGACTTTAAGCAAAAAGTGATTAAAGAATATTAAATTGTTTTAAAAAGTGAAATTGGCAACAAAATCGAATAAATTGTGTTTAATATAGTTTTACAGTATGTTTACAACTCGTAATATATTTGTATAAAGTATCGTTTTAATAATAAGTTGATATAAACGACTTTAAACATTAAATAAAATTTCGACCAATCACAGCGCAGCATATCGTGGAACTTTCTAGAAGTTAATTAACTGCGCAATAGTTTATATGAAAATAATGAGAATATTTTTATGTTCTGAAAGAATTGTTATAACGATATTTAGTTAGCATATGGTATATAGATTGAAATAAGTAAATAGATAATTTATGTAAATAAACGCATTTGAGAAATATAGTAAAATTAAAGAATTAATGTGCACTTTTGTTATGTAAATTTGGTACATTTTGATTAATAACTTTTTTGAATGTAAATATATCAAGTAACCCTTATCACATAATGATAAAGGACCAAAATGTCTATTTTATAGTGTATAGCGTGTTAATGTAAAAATTAGCATTATATAGAAAAATTGCGATTTGTGCAAATTACGTAATGAAAATGTTTGATAATAAAAAGGCAAAACCGGAAATTGGCAAGCGGCTCTCTATAGAGTATAGCCGAAGTCTACCTTATAGGGGCAAATCACAGTAACATTGTAGTATGAAGAACTACCAGTAACATGCAGTAGTATCCGGTAGTAGCTGAAGTGACTAGTAGCAGAACACAGTGAAAAGTTAAAGTGAAATAGAAAAAGTTTAGCTAGCCGAAAAAGGTCGTAACTGAAAAATCGCAGTTACACATAGTCGGAAAAAGTGGCAACTGAAAATTCTCAGTTGCATATAGTAAAATAGTGTCAGCTAGCCAAAAATAGTGGTAACTGATATTCGCAGTTACATATAGTGAAAAAAGTGTTGGCTAGCTGAAAAAAGTGGTAACGGAAATTTCGCCGTTACATATAGTGAAAAGTGTTAGCTAGACGAAAAAAGTGGTAACTGATATTCGCAGTTACAAAAGTGTTAAATTCAACTAATCTTAGTTGATTAATAGCTGCTAGTCAGTAGTGTTAGAAAACCAGCTGCTACCAATAGAAATTTTGGATACTACCAATAGAAATTTGTTACTTTCAATAGATATTTAAAATTACCAATAGAAATAGTAGAGATAGAAACTTGTTACTGCCAATAGAAATATGATATTACCAACAGATATTTTGAAAATACGAATAGAAATTTTAAAAAACCAATAGAAATTTTAATATTACTGTGTGTTTAATTAAATCTGTGTTTTGAAATATATAGTGAACAATCATAGTTGAAAAACAGTGTTAAATAAATAAATAAGTTATAATATTTCGTGACTAATTAATCAGTCGAACCGCTGGCCACTCCCTTGCTATTTTAATTTATAAATCGTGCATTTTTAATTCTGAACCTCAGTCCACAGTTCTCCAACAGCATACACAAAGGCGGTAGTGAAAGTATCCACCGGAACCTATAGGTGTAGGACGTGAGCGGCTCGCGGAGTATCTTCGACAACATTTACTCCGGAGAGTTACGCCCGTCCGGCACAAATATGATCTCTTTATTGCCCTGCGTATATTTTTATTGTTGCCCATTGTACCAACACTGATTGTTTATTTTTACAACTTACGACTAAAGCCGAGATCGAACAAAGTTCACAACAGCTTACAGCACAACTTAGAAAAAACGAATTGTTTATTTACACAACTTATCACTAGAACTAAAATCGAACAAAAAATTACACCAAGAACATAACTTAGAAAAAAATATACACAATTTAAAATATACACAGCTTCTAATAACAAACATATACGTAAATGATATTTGAAAGGAGAGCGAAACAAATTGGTACAGGTCCGTCTAGCAGCGTGCCTCAACGATCACTGTCGCTCTGCGTAGAAATGAAAGAGAAGCGAAAAGACGCCACGATGGCCCGATGCGATACATCGATTCGTTCGGGTTATTTATCATTAAATATATGAATACTTACAAATATTTCATTTCAATCGATATATAAAAACAACAGTTCCCCTTATTATTATATATTACATCACTATTATTAATTTTATTAAGATTTGCTTATAAATAATACAGTTAAAATTGCTGGAAATTCAATTTCAATGGCTATTTTATGATTTTTTTCTATCGAGAAAATTTACCGAAAACGTGTTTTGAAAACAATGGTCCACCCATAAATATGATCAAGAGTTAATCTTGATCATATTTTTTTTTCCGCTCTAAAATGTATATATTTTGTTAAAAAACTGTTTTGTAAAGCCTAGTTTGACTATGCACCGCGCCTTAATATTTTGTTATATCAAAGCTGTGTTTATGAATAATTTATTGTTAAAAAATGTTATTTTCATATTTTGTTTGTGAAAATTTATTGTTAAAAACATTAGTTTAATATTTTGTTATAATAAAGCTGTGTTTCGAATCGTTTATTGTAAAAAAATATTGGATTACCGTGTAGTGACAGTCTCAGAATATCCACAACTCCATATTATCATTCCGTGGGTTTCATCGTAAGAGGTGACAGAGGGAAACACATCAGCAGGTGGACTGATCTTCCTAATAACTGCAGTTGCCAACCCACTTGCCAAGCCTGGTTACAGCTTTGGATTGATTCATAGCCGTTTAAGTTTACCCTTATGATATTAGCTTGACATTTTGTAATGTTAAAGTTTGTTATGATTCATTTATTATAATAAACTCATTCATTTATTAAAATAATAAAATTTACTATTTTTGTATAGACACTGTGTTATTAGTATATTAATGATATAAACATTATAATAAAAATGAGTCATCTAATATCAAAGGCGGCAATATCCATTTCGTTGAATTTTGTGTAAAGTGATAAAAACGTATTTTGTGAAATTTATTTATCCCTTAACTTAGATATTTTTTAAATATGGGATGTACAATGAGAATGATCATTTTACTCTGTTTTATTAAACATATATTGCCTTTTTAAAGCAGAATTGACAAATAACCGTTGGAGATTGCCGACTTTGTTTGAAAGTTTCGAATATTGCCGTGTTTGTTTTAGACAGGTATGGAGATAGCCATGTTTGTTACTGATGATCACCATAATGTATCTGGTCACCACAATCTTGATATTTGAAGTAAAAATTTAAAATAATAGCCGTAGTAATAATCAAACTCTTTTTTATTACTTATCAATCAGTCACTGGTTTTTATAAAAATATAATATACTGAATGGCACTTTACGTAAAACTTCAACAAAATAAACAATCATGCAATTAAAAAAAACAAGTATTATTATCCTTAGGTAAACTTCAGAAAATCAAGTACTCTTAAACTATAGACATCTTTCCTCGACTTGCAATTCACAAGTAACTTCTTGTGATGCATCTTCCTCTTCTTCTAGGCTTGATGTTTGTGATAAAATACTTCTATAAAAATCAAATCCCTCCTCATTTTCCCATTCATTTCCAAAATGAGTGGTTAATAGTTTTTTTACGTCTACCAATTTTGCAGGTTTGATTCTCACAATGTTTTGAGTAATCACTTCAGGGTTCAAATCAGAGGTCTTTTTATTTTTACGAGTTATTTTCTTCAATACATCCAAATTATTAGTATAGTGCACTTCCCCTTGAATTACAATATTACCAATTTCTTTTGACCGCTGTATTAAAAATCTTTTGCAATGTTTAAATTGGAAGTGCCAAGAGCAGACATCCTTTATAACTGAACTCATTCCACTCTTAAAGTTTAGGACTTCATAATCAGATCCCATACGAACTATTGTGCTATAAGTGCCTATAATCTCAAGGTAATCCTCCGGTCTTAATATACACTCCAACTTTCTCACATCCTTTTCCACATGAGCAAATACGCGGTCCGGTGGAATGAAAGAGTGTCCTACGATAGGAAAAACTATTTCAATTCTTTGCACGTGATCAGGTGCCGAACTACTTAACCACTTCGAACACATCGCTATCATTATCGAGTTTTTATTTTGCCCCGGACATCCATCTGCTATCAATCTGATCGTACTTATATCTGTCAAATTCGTGTTCATCAGTCTGTGATATACTATGGAAGCTATTGCGTTAGCTCCTTTGGCATATTGGTCTTCGGTCCAACAGTAGGCGAATACATTTTGTGTTGTCAGAGGAGCCTTTGATGAACCTTCTACTATAGTACAGTTATATAGATAAAGCTGTCTGGAATAATAAGTTATCTGATCAGGTGTTTTTGGTAATGGTAGATTTTTTTCACAATCAAGTGAGAATGTTTTTAAATTGGGTCTTTCTTCTCTCACTAAATTAAAAAATGCTTTAGCTTTAAGTTTGTGAACCCTATGTTCTACCATAAGTCGTTGCTTTTGTGCCTCATCTGATTCTCTTTTAATTTTTTCTAGAAGTAGAATACATGTCGAGCATACATCTGTTCTAGGACTGCCAAAACCGAGGTTATAGTTGTTATTGAAAATTTTTCTGAACAGACCTTTTTTGACTTTTAAATTTGCTTCAAGATTTGGCTGTTTGTTGTACATTTTCCACATTTTGTTAATTGAAAGTTCTGCAGGTAAATATCTCCGTTCAGAATGTCCCCTACAGTAATGTGCTTCGTCAACGTGAAACATATTTATAAAAAGCATTACAGCATTTTTTTTCTCTGTGAATATATGGGACTTGTGGTCACCGCCTCTTTTTTATTTTACTGCTTGTCCACCCGATTCCACAAACTTTTTAGCAATATACTGTACTCGATGTTTAGTAATGTTTAAAATTCCGAGGAACGCTTTCTGACATATTGTTATTTTTTTTTTCTGTAAGATACTGTAAATGCTGTAATTTGTATGAATGGTTTTCGGATGATGTTTCTTATTTTTAGGTCTTTTTCTCTTGGGAATTACAGGGACGCAGTATTTTAGAAGAAAAGCATCTTGTGTTTCCTTGTTGTGATATTTATAAAATGCCGCATGAAAGTTCATCACGTCTCGCATAGTTATTGACTCGCATTTATAAACACCCTTCCGGAGGTGTTGACATCTGGGTCTATTTGGACTTTCCTTAGGGGAATATCTGTAACAAAAGCACATCAAATAAATAACTTGGCACAACTTGGTACAACGTGGTAAAATTTGGCAATACGGCACTACTCACTACGCTCGTGATTCTATTTAGATTGTCTATATCTAAATTTTAGATATAGAAAGTTATCTATTCGATCTATAACAAATAACTATTGGAACAAAACTTGACAATAATAGATTTTAAAAGAAAATATCTGGCCACAAAACATTTGAACGCAATGAAATCCCATACAACTTTGCTTATTCGAATATCGTGTTAATGCAGACTTTGCTCAAAGAAAGTTTTAAAATTATGACCAAATTACATGCACTTTTGAATAAAACTGATTTCAAAAAAAAAATCATGCTAATAAAATCAAGTATCAAATCTGTGCCATCTGTGTGTACTTACCGCTGCCGTTTAGCTATGTTTTGTTTCCAGTTTTCTGGATGAGCCGTACGTTTTCTGGTCTTCCCCGATGTACTCGGTGATGCTAGACACTCCATAATTACAATTTTAACCGAAGTTTTTAGAAAAAAATACAGTATTCATTAGAAAACAATAAAAACACTAACACTATTTCACGAGCGTTAACAACCTCGACGCTTATGAAATTCTGCGCTCTGATTGGTCCACATGGATGTTGCCATCTTTGATTTGAACGGTACAGGATAATGCCGGGTTTGTTACGAGCTCCAAACTTTGAACTCCATTTTCTATGGGATAATGCCGTAAATGATGCGTAATGTAGATTTCCTTACAAAACTACCTCCACAGACAATAAAACTATATTCATAGTTAAATTTTGACCTTGAGTGGACATTGCCGCCTTTGTTATTAGATGACTCAAATATTAGTTTTATGTGTTGTATTGTCAAAACTATGTTAAATCTTTATCAATCTCCTTTATTTTCATTAAGTTCAAAAAATATAGAATAATGTATCAATTATTTGTGTTTAATTTCATTCACGTTAAAACATATTAAGCGTCTCCCACACAGAAGCGGCTTGCGGTGGCGGCTAACCGCGAGCCGCGACTCCAGCCGCTGCAACAACATACCACCGCGGTCGCAGCGGCGGTCTGAAGCGCCATTCGCTGAGTTGTCTGTACTACGATTGGACGTTAGGAACATGACTAACCGTGGCGAAGTCTTTTTATATTCTGCAATATTATCATATATTTTGTTTCTAATTCTAATGCTTTTGTAATCACGTAGCGAATTATCATAAAGTACTGGATAATTTTGCGCTGTTTCTATTAAAATCTCTGAATTTAACATCATTTTTCACGCGGTACACGCGGCCTGTTGTAAAAATTTGCAACTGACCGCGTACTCGCGTACATACGTGTTGGCAAAAGGGGCGGGGCATGCGGCCGCGGCCAGCCGCTCGCAGATCGCGACATGGCCGCGTGGGTTTGCAGACTCACTTACATTGCAAGCGAATGCAAATGGCCGCCACCGCAAGCCGCTTCTGTGTGGGAGACGCTTAATACTTAATTCCTATTTACAAATTATGAAGCACACTTTATGTATTAGGATTAATTATTAACAACCGACTATTAAATTAAACATTTGAAGCATTTAGTTACTATGCAGTTATCTTTTAAAAATGTTTCAAATGTTTAATTCACAGTTGGTTGTTGATAATTAATCCTAGTACATAAACCGTAATGAATTACCATGAATAGAGGTGTATATGTAGAGGTGCATGTGTTATATGCACGCACACATTCTCACAATATTGTGGCGAAACGACACCAGACGGCGCTAGTACTCCTCAGTTGACAGATTTCGCGCGAGTGGGCTCTCTTTTCCTGTATAGGACAGTTACTATACTCTTTGGACGCCAGTTTTATGGTAGGATTAGACATAAACATTGCAAGAATAATTGGACCTACTTACGCAAAACGGAATCAACCCACACAATGACAGTTTTGAGAAAAAGCTGTTTATGTCGAAATTTTGTATACATCAGCCGGGCTATTCACAATCGTCTCGGAAAGCGAATTCGACTCGGATTCGATAACTTCTCGCACCGAAACCAATAAACTCTATTTACATTTAACGTTTGGATAAAGGTCACTTAGATACATCCCATAATTATTGTATCGTCATTTAGTTACATGCATTTACGAATTTTGTAGATAAATAGGCTTTTGTATTTTTTTAGAGTAACGCCTAAACAAAAACATAATGCAATATTTTGGTGTTAGCCATTGATATCGAATATAAAAAATATATAATTTAACTATATAATAAATAACAAAAAAACTCAGATATGTCTCGTTTCACAAAGCAGCATATATATATATATATATATATGCTGCTTTGTGATAGAACACTTATAAAAACACACCTTTCAGAAAAATTCAGCTTTACGATTAAGTGCAAATATTGAAGTAATTATATGAAAATACGTCTTATAGATAATTGTAATTAATTTTTGTTACCTACCTTATAATTAAAAGGGTTTATTTATCTCTTCTAATCATCAATATTCGAAAAGTTTTCGCCAGCCTCAGAGCTCTCGTAAAGTTTCCGATGCAAACTGTCACGATTATCGAAAACAAACGTCAAAGAAGTACGGTCACGCCCCATAGAAAAAAACCCAGACCCGACAGAAACGAGACATATCTCAGTTTTTTTGTTATTTATTATATAGTTAAATTATATATTTTTTATATTCGATATCAATGGCTAACTCCAAAATATTGCATTATGTTTTTGTTAAGGCGTTACTCTAAAAAAATACAAAAGCCTATTTATCTACAAAATTCGTAAATGCATGTAACTAAATGACGATACAATAGTTATAGGATGTATCTAAGTGACCTTTATCCGAACGTTAAATGTAAATAGCGTTTATTGGTTTCGGTGCGAGAAGTTATCGAATCCGAGTCGATTTCGCTTTCCGAGACGATTGTGAATAGCCCTGCAAATCTTTTTGTTATTTTGAATAAAGTTTATATACAATATTGTAGGAAATAATTTATTCTATGTTTACAAACATAATATTGATGAAAATCATTAACATTTTTAATAATAATTTAAAAAGAACTCATTGGTTCCTTTTAGCAAAACTATCTGTGTGTGGGTTAGTTCCTTGTTAATTTATTGCGTTGCCATAATTTTGTAGTAAAAATAATAAATCTTATATTTTCTTTTAATCATTTTACTAAAAAACGAAAACAAATATTAAATTCTTCTAATATAATAATATGTAACATAAAAATGTTAAGAATTACAAAAATGTTTAGTACCAAACAATTACTTAATCAAAATCAAATTTTATTCTACTTCAAAATCAAGTTGACCCGAAAAACCTTCAATATCGTCTTCTAAATCAGCACTTCCGACAAGTTTCACATAAAAATCGTGCGAGTCTTGCGAAATCAGGTGTAGCATGCTTTTTAAATCCCTTAACTTCGCTTCAGGGACAGGTTTCCCTGTTGGCCAAAGTGGCTCCATTATCTCTTTCGTTACAAAACATTGTCTTCCACGAACATTTTTTTTTATATTCACGACCTTGAAATCTTCATCCAAATTAGTTTTCATATAAATTTTGAACATTTCATCCTTTTTAATCATGATTTCTTTAGTATTGAGCCACGAAACTTTCTCTCCATCTATCGTTTTCTTTCTATTAACTATGTTCCTTTCTAACTTCAACGATGACAAGAAATCTGCATTTTTCATCCTGTGTACATGCATTGGCTTAGTTTTTTTACAAGTTTTCATAACATGGATGTAATCATCCGGTGTATAGAGCCTCTGTTGAAGTTTTAAGGCACATTCTATCTTTCCAAAATCTGAATCGTTTGGGAGAAAGCTATGCCCCGATTCAAGAAATTTTATATTGATCTGGTCTAATGTGGGATGTTCATTTAACATAGCTTTAAGCATTAATGTTAATTTTATGTTGCGGTTCTGGCCACCACACGAATCGCACCATAAAATCAGATGTCTCACGTTGCCATCAAGCCTTTCTGTGATATGTTTAATGAGACAAGACCCCACCTCTTGAGCACCTCTGCCAGCTTCACCTTCTACCCACACATTGCAGTGAGCTTCATCATTGCTCCCAGTGTGTATACCTAAATTGTACACCCAGAGTTGTCTTTTGTAAAAGACGATATTCGTGGGTATACGCGGTAAAGGCAACGTTTTTTCGAGATCAAAAGTCAAAGTTTCAACAGAGGGATCATCTTTAGCAAGCTTCATGTCAATTTTCAATTGGTTTTGTAGAGATTTTGCGATTTCTTGATGCGCTAAATGCTTTTGTTCAATTTCGGCTCGATTTTGTTCCGATGACGCGTGCAGTATTTGACATTCAAAAAAGTCACACTTATTACACGTATCTTTTTTAAGAGACTTGGTACGCAGGTTAAACTTAGTAAAAAACAATTTATTGACTTTTGCAGTAGATAATATTTTCACGCCAGCTGTTTTTGCTTCATCGCTGTATAGCTCATATATTTTTGATAAGGTCATGTCTGCTCTCAAAAATTTAGCCCCGTCTGTTTTTTCTCGGCGATAGTGGGATATATATGTCGGCAACTTTTTAATAAAATTTATCACGAACTCCTCACTTTCAGGAGATGCTCTATTGCGCCCGCCATGCACACCACGATTATCTGTAATGCGACTTTCTGACCGCATCTTACAAAGTGACGTATTAATTCTTTTTGCTGACGTCTGCAATGTTTTGACGAAGATATCTCTACAAACTGATACACCATCTAGAAAATATTGGCGTGAGTAAAACTTTTTCTTTGAAACATTGGTTTTATTGTCTGTTGCAACGTAATGACGCTTCACAGGTTGTTCTTTTACTAAAGCAGTTAAAAGCATATTTTGCGCATTATACGATCCTAGAGAATAAAACTTTTTAAATTGAGCCAATCTCTTTTCTACGGTGACATTTTCGTGGCACTTTTTTACACAACAACATTGAAAATCTATAAATTTCTTAGGACTGACAATCTTTTTCCTCGAGTTGACGTAAGACAAATTTGTGTACTTTCGTGTTTTCCTTTCTTCTCGCGATAGCCCACCATATTTTGGCTTTCTACCTTTTTTTGGTCTTCCCATGGGCTGTCTTTCAGCCAGTGATGACCCGGTTTCGTGAACAGAAAAAGTTCTTTTACGTGAGCAATCATTATTCGTGTTAGCATTGTCAGATATTATAGGAGTTTCTAAAACAGAAACCATATTTTCATTATCGACTTGACCAATTTCCTGTTCAGTACTATGAGGTCCTAAATTAACTGTGTCTAGTTGATGACTAGCGCTCATGTTTATTTGGTTAGGTATTTGGTTGCTTTCTGCACGTGCAGTACCAGTCATCAAAGATATTAAATCATTAGAGCTATCATCACTCGAGCTATAATCCACATTAGCACAGTAGTTAAGATCTCTCACCGAATCGTCGCTATCAATAAATAATGGATCTTCGCCATTTCTTATGCTTGCGATTGTTGGTGTATCAGATGTACCTTCAGTGTTGGAATTATCCATCGAATCAGCTAAAATCTGAAACAACGTTGCCGTTTCCGGAGACATAAGAGGAAGCGGTGAAATTAGATTAACAGATTCGACATTTTTTTCAGCAGAAGTCTCAGTGAGCGATTTAGAGGTTAATGAAGCATTATTGGCATTGATATCTGCCCACACAGCTCCAGAAATTTCGTTATTTTTAGCAATTAGAGGCGTCAGCGGTGAGTATGGAGGTGGTTCTATACTTTTTTCAACAGTAGTCTCAATATCATCATTACCAATAGGATTTATATTTGGCCATAAAGCTCCAGAATTTTCATTATTTTTATCAATGACTGGGCGAGGGGTCAGCGGTGAGTATGGAGGTGGTTCTATGCTTTTTTCAACAGCAGTCTCATTATCATCATTATCAACAGATGTTGATATAGTTTTACTATTTTTAACCAAATTAGTAGCTAAAGACAGCTGGGGAGATACAGAACACTGGCAAGCTTCAGCAGTGATAGTAAGTAATTTAGTAGATAAATTAGGTTTAGCTCCATCACCCCCTTTGCAAGTATTTTTTTCATGCGAATTATCAACGATAACGTCCGTACTAAATCTTCTTCGCGTACCCAGCAAATCTAGAATGATAACCCTCTGTTAATTACAATTTGCTAATTCAAACATGCTTATTGAGTCGATTAAGCCTTTTGTATAAAATTCTATAACGGTGTAGTGTATGTGCCTCAACCCTACTAGTAGTGTAAGTAATACATGTTCTCTTAAGTTTATTAATGAGTATAATTAAAGAATTAGTCTCAGCAACACGTGTTCTCTTTCATTAACACCTGCCGACATCACATGGCGACCCTGCCAGGCGGTGCGCTGCGGCAATGCCCGCGCACCGCCGGGCCTACTATTTAAAAGAAGAAAAATATTATAAGAAATTTAAATTAAATAATGAAGTGAAATGACAGATAAAAGAAATATTATAACGGAATGGACGCAATACCGGATGTGTCGAAATAATAATAAATAATAATACAAGAAGATTAAGCCACAATAATAATTGACTGAAAATTTAAAAACTATAACGTATATAATGTATTTATCTTTAACATAACTATGAAGACAACTAAGAAATAATAATAAGAATAAAAAGTGATTTCTTAAATAATGACCAAAGACCAAAACTCAAGAAACAGCAAATTAATTTAATAAGGAAAGGAGCAGTTGTACTTTAGCGAGCTTTGTCCAGTAAGATATGAAAATTAAACCGAAAAGGAAAAAGAAGATTTAAGAGGTAACATCGCTTCAGCGTAATTTTTAACATTTGATTTTAATAACGTTTTATTATGTTTTATATTAAATAAATAAGTAATGCATTAAATATTTAATGTACGGTATTTACAAGTAACTTGAATTTAACATTTTATAATATTTATAATATTTTAGTAGGTATTGTATTAAAAAAATAAAACAATATATTTTTTTATATTTTATATTTTACAATGACAAGATTCGTATTAAAGTAAATACATTTTTAAATTCAGCCCAATATTTTTCCGTGATATATTTTATTTAAATGTAAGTATACAATTTTGAAAAGGGTTTTATAAAAAAACAATCGCTATTAATAAGTCATAATTTTCTTTTTTTCTAAAGGCATGAAAACCTTAAAGTAACTATATAAATAAATAGATAACCTTTAATAAATGACCTTAAAGTTAATATAACCTGCTTAAAAATCAAAAATTGGAAATAACTTAATGTTTTGTTTAATATAAATTTAGCTGTAATAGTGATTACAAATTATTTTCTGTAGGTTATACGGTTTCTTAAATTTCTAGAAATCCTAAATTTTTATATGTAAATTAAATGTATAACTAATACTAATATATTTTTCGTTATAATTAAAAGTAATAGCGATGCGATGTAATTATACTATAAACTTCTGTGTCAGAAAATATTTAAAAGTATCATTTTAATGTGATAAGAAAAATAATCATTAAAAGAGGTTTAAATAATAATGTTACTTAACAAAGTTAAATATGGAGATGAAAAGTTGACATATATTACCTCATTTTTTTGTACAATATTAAAAAGTATATATTTAAAAGGCGTGAGGAATGAGAGAAGGAATGTTCAAATGTGTGGATACGAATGATTGAATTGCTAAGTTTCGTCAATATTGGACTGATCACCCAAATATTTGATGATGCTTAAAATCCTGGTATTGAAACCATTATGAGCGAGAATTATGAAAGTTAGTAATGGAAATGGAGTATGAAAGTATATAAAAGTTACCGATACAGTCAAGTAGATAACAGCAGGTACTATAAAGATAAAGAAAGAAATAAAAATTTACGAAGACAATCAAAATAAAATAAAAGATGACCTTGATAAATAAATCATGGAGAGATACGGGAACGTCCATCACTGGCAAAGCATATAGTCCTCGAGCAGGGTATATTTCCATGATTGGATGATAAAATCGGAAGTAACGGGTACTAGTACTACCTTCAGTACAAGTGAGATGTGAACGAGTTTACTCATATTAGTACTGTTGGGGACCAGAGAAGTCTTAAATATTGTTACCCTTAATAATGGTACATAGAGGTCTCATCCTTCATTGGATTATAGTGTGAACTTAGTTTTCCTCCGTGACAATTGTTGGAGTCTTTTAAAATGACTTAAACGTTGACCTCAAGGTTGTGCGCACAACCCAAGGTACAGTATTACCTTGATATAGTATGATGAAACAAAAGTTTATGTACCAGTAAAATAAAATGAATGTAATGAAAATATAATACCCAAGTAAATGGGGGGCCCATATTTATAAAGTACCCACGTGATAAATATCACGAAATAAAATATAAATGAAGTGAATTAATACTCCGATTCCCGGTATCTAATTAATAAATAAATATTAAGGAAAGAGAATTTAGAACAGCATTTTAATACTAAAAGAAATAAAGCTAGCTAAAGGTCAAAAATATAAGAAAGAAATAAAGTACGTACAACAATTATGAAAAAACAAATAGGCCTGACAATCAAAAAGGAATGTAATGAGATGTGCATATCTATGGAGATGCGCTAGTATAAAAATAATTAACATGCAGGGAGATGAAAACAATTAAAATGAGGTCATAATGGAATCCCCGCCAAAGCAAAAAAAAAACAACCACAATAAAAAAATGATAAATACGTTTTCGTTTAGATATATTTTATATGAATTTGCAAAACTTTTTCATATTTTCAATAACTTTACCCTAAATTTCTCTTAGTTTTTTTTTGTAAATGTAAAATTTTTACAATTTTAAACGAAATTTTGTATATTAGTTACTAGAAACAAGTCGAAAGTGTATTAACTCTATTATTTTAAGTTTCATAACATAATAGTATTTTTTTTATGGACAACGAAAAATAAAATTATGTAATCTGCTTCAAAAAATTGTCTCTTCTAATGTTAATAAATATTTTGTTTAAACAAACTTTAGGTATTTAATGGTGTATATTTTAAATTTCTGTCTCAATTAAGATAAACATATTCCATAAAAGTCATAAAATAAAAAAGTAGTAAAATGTGTTTTCGAATATTATAAATAACTTAAATAATGAATACTTGATAATGTATGTAAACCTATTATCACAATGAAATGTTACTACCTAAACTGTGTAAATGATTTTATTCACGAAAACATTTTATTGTATTGTTGAAAGTAGGTACCATCATACGATGTAATCTCAAACGTTTCCATATAAGGTACGAGTACTTTGGAATTTAAAACAAAGGTGTCACAAATCGCTTACGCGGCTGGGAGCACAACATGTATTTTGATCTGTCTGTTGTTATGTTAACAAAAATGATTAGGTACGTTGCTTTGCATTGACTTATTTTTTCTGGATATCTAAATATGAAATGTAATAAATTATTTAGGTATAATATTGATTGAACTTTCAAAATATCATAAACTTTCATCTATTACAATTTATTATTTTATGAAATAATAGTAGAGTAATGCCAACTTAGTTGTATGGATTATGAAAATAATTACTTTATTTAATACGATTTAGAAAACAATTATACTATGCTTGCTTAAATTTTATTGTGACCAAAATATTGTGAGCCTCAATCCCTGACTGACAATGATATATGTACCTAAATATTATACGAGATTATATTATGATATAAATTTGTAATGCCTATAAAATAGTAAAAAAAAATATATATTATATATTTATTATATCAATTATGTCAAATATGTATGTTGTATTTCAGTAATTGAGCACAAGCGATCTAACTATTGAGAACAAGTTCTATGTTTTTAATTCGTTACCAATTATGGAGAATGGTATCATCGGTCGAAATCTTTTTAAAAAAAAAATATAGATCACTTTCGCATTTTGATTCCAATATTTTAATATTATATGAACATCTAGGTAGATCGTAATAAAACCTATTTCAAACACTTGTAATAATTCCTTGGCAAGTTTTTTTTTCTTTTATTTCACTAATGTGATTAGACGGGTTAAGATACTTAAAGTTTTGTGTTGAATGGCAAGGATTGTAAGTATAATAATTAATTAAATATTGAGAGATTTGACTGATAAAAATAAATTCAGTGAGTGTTTTATACACATTGGTTAGAGTAAATTGACATATAAACTTATTTCGGTAATGAGAATATGTTGGAATGTTAATAGGTAAAGCACAAGATCTGGTAGATAATTAGCTATTTCAGTGATAGTCGGATGCGCAAACGAGTATGGAAATGCTAAAAAGTCAATGAGAACTTTTCGTAGACATCAGGTTTTTAGAAAGGATAAAAAGTACATATAATATGATGTCAAGTTTATTGCAAAATGCATTATTATTGTTGCCCACCTATATATCTACATGATTATGTTAACATGATGTTGTAACGTTGGTTAGTACCAAAAATACGACAGGTTTAATGACGTACGAAATAAAATCGCATGCGTATCCTGGATTGACTCGATAATATTATGTATAACCTGACCTGATCATGATCATGAGATTATAATCTTTTTTTAATTATTTTATATTCTATTTAACTGCTTTATTTTACTCAATTATGTTTACTAAATTTAGAAATTATATAAATTTAATGGCTAAGTAACATTGTATTTTATTTTAATCTTCAATATTAAATTTATTTTTATGTAATAGGATTCAGGGTTCATATCATTTTATAATTAAATATTTGAATTCACAATATAATTTACATGTAACCATAAATCATTTTTTTATAATATCTATCAAGAAAATAATATGTAAAAAAAAAAGTAAATAAAGAACATTTCTTTTTTTTTTAAAGTATCGGGGGAGGTGTAGTGTATGTGCCTCAACCCTACTAGTAGTGTAAGTAATACATGTTCTCTTAAGTTTATTAATGAGTATAATTAAAGAATTAGTCTCAGCAACACGTGTTCTCTTTCATTAACACCTGCCGACATCACACTGTTTACTGTATAGATTCTATAATGGTTTACTATATGGATACTAATGGTTTAATTATTTTTGACCAAAAAATGTAGTTTCGCCTCTTTGTGTATTACAGCAGTATACCAGTTAAGTACTAAAAACAGCATGCAAAAAAGGTATGCAAAACATTCAGGAATAATATAAAAATTACCTGAAGAAATCTGCATTGGACTGCTTGGTCGAGAGTTATCATAAAAATCTGAAAAAAAGGAATAAAATATTAAGTAAACTATCACATTACTAACTATAAAATGTGGATACGTAATATTATGTATGTAAATACAAAGAATCTGAACTATTACAACCCTATTTAAACAAAGAGTCCAACAAACTAAAATAATGACTCAGTAAAAAGTTTCATTAAGAAACCACATAAAGTTTTTATAACCTCAAAATTATTTACATACCTTGATTGTCATTCTCTTTATCTTCTGAATGGTTGAGGCAGTTAGAAATCATAGTTTATATCCTGGTATTCACCCTCTTCATTGTTGGAAACAGTAAATTAGTTTATAAATCCCACAACAAACCGAACGTTTCTGTTTTTTTAGACACAGTGTAGCTATTGTTAATGTTTTAATTACATATTATTAAAATTTAATAAAGTTGCCATATTCATACCATAACAAAATTGCCACACAAAATATGGTTATCTTAAAAAAATTCAATGAATTTAGAAAAACTAGTTAATTACAATAATGTATCTAGGAATCACTGACTTAGATAAATAATATTCTCAATGAATTCATTAAACAACACAGATTCAAAGAACATGAATTATTAGTTGTTGTAAATTGCTTTATATTAACAAGGAACCAAGTAACATGAGTCCTTGTAGAAATATAGGATTAAGCTATTTTTATTATGCAAACAGGAACCAACCCGCATGGTTCTATATTATTGATAAAAATAATATTTTACAAAGGACCATGTGGTATGGGACTTTATGAAAAAAAAACAATTTCAATGATTTTTTAGATTGTCAGGTTACCATCGGGCATGGATCTTGTTTGTTTATTGAACAACTGTTGTTAATTGTTATGTGGGTTGATAACTTTGTCACAGAATTGTTTTATTATGTCAAAATTGTCAGATCATTTTGATCTTTACAGGGTCTATAGAAGGTGCATTTTAAAAGCGTTCTGCATATTTATCTCAATTTTGGCATGTGTGTGGATTGGTTCCTTTTTGCATAAGTAGGTCCAATTGATTTTCAATCATTCTTTTCTCAAAAATTACGCGTTTCCACATGTTGAAACTTTGTGTGTGTGTGCTTATAATAGTGTAACTTTTCTGTAAAAATACGTATCAACACCAAACTCGACTGACGTCAATGGAAAGCTAAGCCAAAATAAATTGAATTAATTAACTAATTTCTATAATATAAAAATAATATTTAACGAAACTAATTTAACTTAAAATTAAAAGCGCACGCAACACTCCCTCCCTCACCGAGTGATGCAAGTGCACCAAAGAGTATAGTAACTGTCCTATACAGGAAAAGAGAGCCCTCGCGCAAAATCTGTCAACCGAGGAGTACTAGCGCCGTCAGGTGTCGTTTCGCCACAATATTGTGAGAATGTGTGCGTGCGTATTAACACATGCACCTCTACATATACACCTCTGTTCATGTTAATTCATTATGTTTTATGTACTAGGATTAATTATCAACAACCAACTGTGAATTAAACATTTGAAACATTTTTAAAAGATAACTGCATAGTAACTAAATGCTTCAAATGTTTAATTTAATAGTCGGTTGTTAATAATTAATCCAAATACATAAAGTGTGCTTCATAATTTGTAAATAGAAATTAAGTATAATATGTTTTAACGTGAATGAAATTAAACACAAATAATTGGTACATTATTCTATATTTTTTGAACTTAATGAAAATAAAGAAGATTGATAAAGATTTAACATAGTTTTGACAATACAACACATAAAACTAATATTTTTATTCTAATGTTTATATCATTAATATATTAATAACACAGTGTCTATACAAAAAGCGTAAATTTTATTATTTTAATAAATGAATGAGTTTATTATAATAAATGAATCATAACAAACTTTAACATTACGAAATGTTAAGCTAATATCATAAGGATAAACTTAAACGGCTATGAATCGATCCAAAGCTGTAACCACGCTTAGCAAGTGGGTTGGCAACTGCAGTTATTAGGAAGATCAGTCCACCTGCTGATGTGTTTCCCTCTGTCACCTCTTACGATAAAACCCACGGAATGATAATATGGAGTTGTGGATATTCTGAGACTGTCACTACACGGTAATCCAATATTTTTTTACAATAAATGATTCGAAACACAGCTTTATTATAACAAAATATTAAACTAATGTCTTTAACAATAAATTTTCACAAACAAAATATGAAAATAACATTTTTTAACAATAAATTATTCATAAACACAGCTTTGATATAACAAAATATTAAATGCTTTGGCATATGGTCTGACACAACTGGTTACTTCGCCTACGCGGATTCCAGATGTGGAGGATCATACACCTTCCCTGTTGGACTTTCTGCTAACCTCTCATGCGGACGGATATTAGGTTGGCGGTGCACCACTGTGCGATTTAGAAGAAGTTTACTCCCTCGCACAACTTCCTTGTGGAATCAATTACCACCAGCGATTTTTCCGGACCGATACGACTTAGGGACCTTCAAGAAAACAGCCTACTCCTTTTTAAAAAGCCGGCAACTAATAATCTAACTAGCGAAAAGATAAAAAGAGGGCTTGGTCTCTTGTTATTCATAACAGCTTTGACAATAGAAAATATGAAATAACATTTGTTTAATTAAATAACTGATTCATCAGAATACAGATTCGACAATCGCCTCATAGAAGAGATATTTACCATAGTTGCAACGCTTGGGAAGCAGCTTTTAAATTTAGTCGTTATTAGGAAGGAACTGCTGTCCATCTTCTGATTTGTTTCCCTCTGTCGCCTCTAATGACACTCACGGGATGATATGGACTGGTGGATATTCTTACTGCGCCACACACAAACTAACTTTTTTACAGTAAACGATTCATATAACACAGCATTCACAATACAAAGTATGAAACTAATATTTTAACAATAAATGATTCTTAACAGCTTAGACAATACAAATTATGAAATCAATATTTCTATAATAAGTTATTCTTAACAGCTTTCACAATACAAACTAAGAAAATATTTTTATGAGATACAATTCTTAACAGCTATAACAAAACAAAGTACAAAGATAATATTTTTTAAACAGCTATAACAAAACTAGGCATAAAAATAATATTTTATACAATACATGATTCTCAACAGCTCTAACAAAACAAAGCATAAAAATAATATTTTTTACAGTAAACGATTCATAAACAGTTTTGACAATACAAAATATGAAACATATTTTTACAATAAATGATTCTAAACAGCTATAACAAAACCTTCGCTGCAAATGTCATCTTTTTGGTGATCTTCTCAAATGCTACTTGATTACTCATTTATTCTGCATTTGATAGACGAGTCCTAAAATCTTTTATAGTTTTTTTAGACTTCTTTAATTAAAATTTAAGTTTTCTCGCATGCTTTTGTAACAACTTCTAATTCTTAGGGTAGTATCATATTTCGTCGGTTTATCTGAAAATGTTTAATTTATACATTACTTTTTCCAAATTAGAATTTACAATGTAGACATTTGCAATAAATGTTGTAAAATTATATATTTTAGTATAAGATATTCAGATACTAGACTATATTTGCTTCTCAACTAAGCAAATTGTTAGAAAATATTGTTAGCTACTAAAATATAAGGAATTAAATATTTGATAAGTTTGATAGTTTTTTTTTTAAGAAAATGTTACCCCCACACTAGGATTTTCTCCTGTATTGTGGGGTCAGTTTACATACATAAAATTCACAAGGACAAACATCCAGACCTGGGATAATTATTTGTAGGCCATACAAATACTTGTTCCATGAGGGATTCGAACTCACGGCCCTTAGCGTTGCGACTTATTGTTAAGCCACTGCGCCACGGAGCCGCCAAAAACCTTATACAAAAAAAAATTTGTACTTATAAAATAAAAAAAAATTAAATTTAATGTATGTACACAAGAACAAACATAGTTTTATGTAAAAATAGTGATGTATATTCTGTAAATAATAGAAACAAGCACAAGTTAGTTATATCCTCGAGTCTAAAGAGGCAGTAATTCCATCATGGAGCAATTAAGGCCCAGTAAATATGCAGGCCTTATCTATCAAAAATTTTAAAATTTTTATTAATCAAAAATTGTTTAATAAAGATTTATTATGCTATTAAAGTGTACATGATTGATAAATAACCCCTGGCAATGGGGTGATCACTACCATGCTGTTTCTGTTTTCATACCAATTGTATAAAACTTAAAAGAAATATACTTCAAAAAAAAGTCCCACGGGGTTCTTGCTGGTTACCACAGGACAAAGGTTTTGTACTCTATGTGTTAAAAATGATTCTATGGTATTCTATTCTTATATACTATAACTTCATTAACATTTGTCTGTGATGTTGAAGGCTGGTCATGTGGATGCAGACGGGGCAGAAGTCAGGAAAGGGGGTTTTGATAAAATGGTAATACACTTAAATAGCTACGTAAAACAGTAGTTAGTACAATACTGCCCTTTCACTAAGGTTTTCATTTTTTTAATTATTTCATTGTACAGTAAAGGATGTTATTGCTTTTAAAAGTAGCATTTTTATATTTTTGTTAGAACATGATGAGCAGTATGCATTAAATAGTGGAGAAAAGAACAAAAATGTAGTTAACTTACATGTTTTATTTATAAAACTTTATCAGTGAGATCAAAAATCACATATTGGTTCTTATTATTTGCCATAACAATTCTTAAAAATAGAAAACTTCTATAAAAATATATTTCTTAGCAAAACTTAAAGACTTAATTATAGAGATCAAAAATTATAATGTTTATAATTATAGTGTTATTTGGCACAAAATTATTCTCATTAACTTACAAACAACATGAAAAAGCTTTTTAACATAAAATTGTTTCAAAAGGACTTCTCCAAAAAGCACCTTAATGAAAAACAATACTTAAATATAATTAAGAATCACTGACAAGTCAACTTTCAGAATCAGTGTTACCTGGAAGATTATACCAACTTATTCTGTTTCAAAAACTAGCTTACATTTTATCACATTCACTGATCGTATCTATTATCATTTAATTACAGTGTTTAATTTTCTGGGTACGACTTTCCATTGACGTCAGTGGAGTTTGGTGTTGATACGTATTTTTACAGAAAGATTACACTATTATAAGCACACACACAAAGTCTCATTATACGGAAACGCGTAATTTTTGAGAAAAGAATAATTGAAAATCAATTATTCTTGCAATGTTTATGTCTAATCTGCTAATAAACTGGCGCCATTTTGTAATGTCATTGTCGACGTCAATAGGGATGTCGATTCTTTCCGAAAAAGGTCGATTTTTAAATCGATTCAAATCGTAAGTGGATGTATCGATTCCCAAAAAATCGATTTCTAAAATATCGATATTTTTTTCATGTTTGCATTTATAATGTAAATATAAATCCATTTTATGAGAAAAAAATCCCCTTCATCATAAAAAAATAAGGGGACTGATTCATAAGGATTTCTGTATCTATTTTGAGACTGCTACGTCTCCGGCGCTGCGGGAAGAGCAACCTCTACGCCTTAGCGTAACAAATCGCAGGCATCCCTCCTCGCCTCCGCAGCTTCGGCTTGTTGGTCGCCTTCGGCGACCAGCCTCAGCCGCTCCGGCTCGTCCGATGCCTACGATTTGTTACAGCAGGCGGAGGCTGCTCCCCCTACGCGCCTCCGGCTCTATAAAACCACTCTAGGGGTAGGACAGACTCGTACCAGGTGGAGTCGGGGTCAATCAATTCGGTTCTTTGACATAAGTTGAACCTAACCTATTTTATTTGTTACCTGCCCTAATAGGTACTGTTAAATAAAACAAATTTCAATAAGAGATCATTTATCATGGTATCTTTCTTGTTTTTCATAAAATGGGTTTATAATTTATATTTACATTATAAATAGAAACATTAAAAAAATATAGATATTTTAGAAATCGATTTTTTGTGAACCGATACATAAGCTTACGATTTGAATCGATTTAAAAATCGACCTTTTTCGGAAAGAATCGACATCCCTATTGACGTCGACAATGACATTACAAAATGGCGCCAGTTTATTAGCAGATTAGACATAAACATTGCAAGAATAATTGATTTTCATTATTCTTTTCTCAAAAATTACGCGTTTCCGTATAATGAGACTTTGTGTGTGTGCTTATAATAGTGTAATCTTTCTGTAAAAATACGTATCAACACCAAACTCCACTGACGTCAATGGAAAGCTAAGCCATTTTCTGTGCCTTATTCCTTGTTTGCTAAATTTTCAACATTATTATTAACACACAAATTTTCCCAAAAAAGTCTGCAATTAGCAGGCATTAACGGACACAGATTTTCACTGGTAAAAAACTTTACTGGACATATTCTCTTTGTGGCAAATTTTATACAGAAGCACAGAAGAACACATTGGGCATAGAAAATTCACTCCATAAAATCATTTAAATAAATAGCGACTCTTGCTATGAGATGAGAAAACACCAGCTTCCAAATAAAAAAATAAAAAAGAATCATCAAAATCTGTCCTCCTAAAAAAGAGTTCTAAGGTAACTTTCAAAAATTAATTAATAAATTTAATAACAAATACATACTAATGCCGTGTAGTGGCGGTTAAGAATATCCACTACCCCATATCTTCCCGTGGGTGTCGTAAAAGGCGACAAAGGGAAACAGGCAGGAGATGGGCAGCAGCATCTTCCTGATATTAGTCAAAATAACAATAAAAAAACTGCGGTTGCCAACCCGCTCGCCAAGCGTGGCAACTATGGCAATATACCCCCCATGAGCAATGACAATAATAGACGGCCCCCAGTCCCCGGCGGCTCCGCTATTCCTGGCTACGGTGGCGACCATGGTAACGGCGGGGCAGGGGGTGCTAAGAATCTCCGGTGGAGGTTCGGTTGCCACCTACGACGACTCGACCTGGCAACATACAACGCACGCACCTTGACGACTGACGAGAAGATTGTGGAGCTGGAAGAAGAGATAGACAAGTTACGCTGGCATATTATAGGATTATCCGAAGTCCGAAGAGAGGGGGAGGACACGGTAATCCTCGAATCCGGCAACTTGCTCTATTACCGGGAGGGCGACCATCTGTCCCAAGGAGGTGTCGGATTTATCGTCCACAAGTCTCTCGTTAACAACGTTGTAAAGATTGAGAGTGTGTCGACGAGGGTTGTGTACCTTATACTCAGAATCACCAAACGGTATTCGCTGAAGGTCATACAGGTTTACGCACCAACCTCGGCACACCCCGATCAGGAGGTGGAGGAAATGTATGAGGATATCTCTAGAGCCATGCATTCCTCCAAAACCCAATATACGGTGTTAATGGGAGACTTCAATGCAAAACTAGGCACAAGAGAGAACGGTGAGCTGAAAGTAGGGAAATTTGGAATAGGGCAACGGAACCCAAGGGGCCAGCAGTTGGCTGACTTCATGGAGAAAGAGGGACTTTATGATGAACTCTTTCTTCCAGAAGCGGCCCCACAGGAAGTGGACCTGGTCGAGCCCCGACGGTTCGACAAAAAATGAGATTGACTTCATTATGACGACCAGACGACAACTGTTCAGTGATGTCTCCGTGATCGCGAGGGTGAAAACTGGTAGCGATCACCGAATGGTTAGAGGCACACTGAACCTAAACGTTAAGTTGGAGAGGTCTCGTCTAATGAAGTCAACGCTCCGTCCCCCTCGTGCTCTAATCCAAAGTCCCGAAACCTTTCAGCTCGAGTTACAAAACCGTTTTCAGTGCCTAGAAGACTGCAATGAAGTGGACGATTTGAATGACAAGCTCGTGGAAACTGTCCATGCGGTCGGAGCTAAGTTCTGCAAGACCCGCCGCAGAAGAACACAAAAACTCTCCGATTACACTCTTAATCTCATGGCTGTTAGACGGGAGATGAGGCTACATTCTTCAACAGATTTGACAGCATACAGGCAACTGAACAGACAGATCTCCAAATGCATGCGGCGGGACTTACGCAACTTCAATACAACTCGTATTGAAGAAGCGATCGAGCGGAACCAAGGCTCCAAAGTCTTTGCCAGAGATCTGTCTGCCAGAAAGCGCCAACTGTCAAAGCTGAAGACAGAATGTGGCAGCATCGTTTCCGGGGCACCTGAGATTTTGAGTGAGATTGAGAGGTTCTATGGGCAGCTGTACACGTCATCGTTGGAGCCGTACGCAAGTGTGAGTAACGATCCAAGAGCGAGTCTTATCCGACATTATTCCGATGATATCCCGGACGTCAGTCTGAGCGAGATTAGAATGGCTCTCCAGCACCTTAAAAACGGCAAGGCCCCAGGCGAGGATGGAATTACAGCGGAGCTTCTGAAAGCGGGTGGAAAACCGGCACTTGAAGTCCTTCAGAAGCTCTTTAATTCCGTCTTCCATGGTGGCATTACACCGGAGGCGTGGAGCAGAAGTGCGGTGGTCTTGTTCTTCAAGAAAGGCGACAACGCTTTCTTGAAGAACTACAGACCGATTTCCCTTCTGAGCCGCGTCTACGTGCTGTTTTCGAGAGTCATTACGAATCGTCTCACGCGCAGACTTGACGACTTCCAGCCTCCCGAACAAGCCGGTTTCCGAAAAGGCTTTAGCACCATAGACCACATACATACCCTTCGGCAAATTGTACAGAAGTCCGAGGAGTACAATTTGCCACTATGTCTGGCGTATGTGGACTATGAGAAAGCCTTTGATTCCGTCGAAATTTGGGCGGTGCTGCAGTCCCTTCAGCGATGCCAAGTTGACTGTCGGTATATCGAAGTGTTGAAGTGCTTGTACAGTAGGGCTACGATGGCTATCCGAGTACAGAACCAGAGTACGAAACCTATCCAATTGCAGAGAGGTGTAAGACAGGGTGACGTCATATCCCCGAAACTCTTTACCGCTGCATTGGAAGATGTTTTCAAGCTTCTGGACTGGAAAGGATACGGTATCAACATCAATGGCGAGTACATCACTCACCTTCGATTTGCCGACGATATAGTCCTTATGGCAGAATCGCTGGAGGACCTAAGCACTATGCTCAATGACCTCAATAGTGTTTCCCAACGGATAGGTCTTAAGATGAACATGGACAAAACAAAGATCATGTTTAATGTCCATGTCACACCTATGCCGGTAGTTGTTGGGAACACTAAGCTCGAAGTTGTTGACGAGTATGTTTACCTGGGACAAATAGTCCGACTAGGTAAGTCCAACTTCGACCGAGAGGTCAATCGACGGATTCAACTCGGTTGGGCAGCGTTCGGGAAATTACGGCACATCTTCTCGTCAGGTATACCTCAAAACTTGAAAACGAGACTGTACACCCAGTGCGTGTTGCCAGTGATGACATACGGAACTGAGACGTGGTCCTTCACTGCTGGCCGGATGAGGAAGCTCAAGGTCGCTCAGCGAGCTATGGAGAGGGCTATGCTCGGAGTTTCTCTGCGTGATAAACTCAGAAATGAGGATATCCGCAGTAGAACTAGAGTGACCGACATAGCCCAACGGATTAGTAAGCTGAAGTGGCAATGGGCCGGCCATATAGCTCGAAGAACCGACAACCGATGGGGAAGAAAGGTTCTCGAGTGGCAGCCTCGTACCGGCAGGCGAAGTGTAGGGCGTCCCCCCACTAGATGGAGTGACGACCTGGTAAGATATGCAGGAAGTCGATGGATGCAGGTGGCTCAGGACCGTGCTTTGTGGCATTCTTTGGGGGAGGCCTATGTTCAGCAGTGGACTTGTGAAGGGCTGTAATGATGATGATGATGATGATAGATTAATTAAAATATTTCTTTATTAAATAAATGGTTAAACATTGTATCATAGTTTTATTAATAAATCGGTATCCTTATTAAAATTACATTACCTATATCATTTTATGGCTTAGCTTTCCATTGACGTCAGTGGAGTTTGGTGTTGATACGTATTTTTACAGAAAGATTACACTATTATAAGCACACACACAAAGTCTCAATATACGGAAACGCGTAATTTTTGAGAAAAGAATAATTGAAAATCAATTATTCTTGCAATGTTTATGTCTAATCTGCTAATAAACTGGCGCCATTTTGTAATGTCATTGTCGACGTCAATAGGGATGTCGATTCTTTCCGAAAAAGGTCGATTTTTAAATCGATTCAAATCGTAAGCTGATGTATCGGTTCACAAAAAATCGATTTCTAAAATATCTATATTTTTTTTAATGTTTCTATTTATAATGTAAATATAAATCCATTTTATGAAAAACAAGAAAAATACCATGATAAATGATCTCTTATTGAAATTTGTTTTATTTGACAGTACCTATTAGGGCAGATAACAAATAAAATAGGTTAGGTTCAACTTATGTCAAAGAACCGAATTGATTGACCCCGACTCCACCTGGTACGAGTCTGTCCTACCCCTAGAGTGGTTTTATAGAGCCGGAGGCGCGTAGGGGGAGCAGCCTCCGCCTGCTGTAACTTAGCTTGCTCCCTCCTCGCCTCCGCAGCTTCGGCTTGTTGGTCGCCTTCGGCGACCAGCCTCAGACGCTCCGGCTCGTCCGATGCCTACGATTTGTTACGCTAAGGCGCAGAGGTTGCTCTTCCCGCAGCGCCGGAGACGTAGCAGTCTCAAAATAGATACAGAAATCCTTATGAATCAGTCCCCTTATTTTTTTATGATAAAGGGGATTTTTTTCTCATAAAATGGATTTATATTTACATTATAAATGCAAACATGAAAAAATATCGATATTTTAGAAATCGATTTTTTGGGAATCGATACATTAGCTTACAATTCGAATCTATTTAAAAAATCGATCTTTTTCGGAAAGAATCGACATCCCTATTGACGTCGACAATGACATTACAAAATGGCGCCAGTTTATTAGCAGATTAGACATAAACATTGCAAGAATAATTGATTTTCAATTATTCTTTTCTCAAAAATTACGCGTTTCCGTATATTGAGACTTTGTGTGTGTGCTTATAATAGTGTAATCTTTCTGTAAAAATACGTATCAACACCAAACTCCACTGACGTCAATGGAAAGTCGTACCCATTTTATTTTTAATACTTATAAAATTATACATTTAATGTAACTTAACATTATATTCATACTTCCTACATGAGAAATCCGCAAATAAACCCCTCAGAAATAAGAATAGACCTTTGCCCAGCAGTGGGACATATAAAGGCTGTAAATTAAATTTTTTTAGGCTAACACTGATTACTGTGAACAATGCGGTGTTCCCGAGGACTTAATGCATGTCTTGATGGAGTGTGCCCGCAATGCTGCCTTTCGAATAGCTAAGTGTAAAAATATTTTAAAGGAATTTGCTGATTGTAACATTATTTTATCCAATCCTCATTCCGATGAAACAAAATTATTGGCTAAATTATATAACATAATATTTTCCTCAGATCAGTCAATTAGATAGTACTTGTTTTCATTTTTGTTTGCTTGTTAAATTGAATGTTATTTAGTTCTAAATGATGTCAAATAGGGTGACATAATCGCATTTGATTAAGCTCTTAAATAAAGATTTAAAAAAAACATTGATTAACAGTACTTCATTCGTAATATGTCTTCTGAGAAGATTCTTCTCCTCGGAGGTTGCATATTTAGATTTTTATTCATGGCTTAATATATAAGTCCTTAATAATACAATAATTAGCCCTAAAATCATCATCCCTGATAGAAAAGACTAAGTCTTTAAAATGCATTATTGAAGCTCATTTCGTTTTTATTTTAATTGTAATTCACAATTACGGCGTAGAATATTAAACAAAAAACCTAAACATGCCATTATTTTATCACAATGAATAAGATAATTGCAGAAAACAAACAATTAATATGAACACTTCATAAGGTTACTGTTTTGCTATTGCCTAAATTTCAATTCCAACTCAATACAAATACAATATGCAGCTGTCAACTAACTGTCAAAACTGTGTCAAGAGTACCGATTTTGCTTACAATCGGATTGGATAAATTTGTAAAAAATAAACTACCCGACGTAATATGAACACGCAACCAACAACCTACGGAACTTTGATAGCGCGATTTAGGCTTCGATGTGTTTCGCTTGTGGCGCGACGACAGCGCCGCCACATCACCCCCCTGCTCAGACCGGAGGTCGATAGTGCAGTCCGATTGCCGGTGCGTCCTTAATGCCGGTGGGGAATGCATGCTGTGTGCGTAAGGGCAAGTGACGCTGGTGCGAATGATATGCCGGTGTATAATGCATGCCGTACTACGCACTTGCAAGTGATGCCGGTGAGAACGATGAGCCGGAGCAAGTGCCAGGGATTGCCTTGTAGTCTGCGGTGAGTCGAGAAGAAGGCAAGTAATCTGCGAGAGTGCCGTGAAGCAGAGGCGAGCAGTAAGGCTCAGAGCCGTGCCGAACACTGTAGCGCAGAGAGTAGCTTGAAGGAACAGGAAGCATTATTATTCCGGTGCTGCAATGAACCTTTTGTAAAGCTAGATGGCTTGCAGAATGTGAAGACTGCAGACAATGTCTGCTCGGGAGCAAATGAATGGGGTACTTAAGGAAGATGAAGGTTTGAAAGTGTAATTTCCGAAGGTTATTGGTTGCGTGTTCAGATCACGTCGGGGTCACCACTGTGGCGGGTGGAAGGAAAAGGGGAGATCTCCCGCCGGGCAATGGTGTTCTGCCCGGGGAAAGGCCAGCGCTCCGATTGGTAGAATAGAATAGAATAGAATAGAATATTTTTTTATTCAATATACATTACATGTGTAATTCTTATTGAAAGTCATTTTTTACTTTACCACTGGTTCGAAAAAAACCCTCTGTCCTGGGAAGAACCAGCAAGAAACCCAGCGGGACTTTTTTTTTTAAATAATTTTACAATATAAATGATTACGAACTATGGTCACGGGGGGGACTGAGGTGTATGACGTCCCAATGTCATAGTTAACCACGGCTACCTCCAGATTAAAAATTATTAATTTTTGTTCCGATCTACGCAGTATGAACTTACAGTATCATGAAGTCTTGCAGTTGTATGCTTGGGTTGGGATTTAATTTTATTAATTATGGGATCCCAAGCAGATGGTAGCACCCAGCCATCTTCTCTATTGAAATTAGGATGTTTTTTGATTTCAATAGCCTCGCGAATCATCCTTGGAAGGAATCGGTGTTCTTTAGCGAGGATTTGTGGTCTATCAAATCTAATGTAGTGACGGGGGCGATCCTGTACGTGTTCACAGACTGCAGACTTCCCGGAGCGTCTATTCTTCACATCAGCTATGTGTTCTTTAACGCGGGTTTTTATGGATCTTTTAGTTTGTCCTATATAAGAGAGACCACATTCACAATCCAGCTTGTACACTCCTGCATCTTGCAGAGGAATATTACACTTGACTGATGGTAAAAACTGACTAATCTTCTTCGGCGGCTTGAAATATGTTTTAATGGAAGCACGCTTCAAGATGTAGCCAATCTTGTCAGTGACACCTCTGACATATGGCAGTACAGCAGGCACTCGCTCGACTGTGGCCGGCTTCACTCGTTCACTGTGACGTAGGCGCGGGACCCGAAGCTTATTGTCGTGCAAAACTTGCTTGACGTGTTGGAGCTCGGCGGCCAGGTGTTTACTGTCACAGATCCCTCGTGCTCTCTGAAACAAAGATTTACCCACGGTAGCTAACTGTGAAGGATGGTGGTGAGAATCACCGTTTAAATATCTATCTGTATGGGTCTTTTTTCTATACACAGTGTGGCTCAAGGTGTTATCAGGATTCCGAATTACTAACACATCTAGAAAAGCTAAAGAATTGTTTGCCTCTAACTCCATTGTGAACTGAATTTTAGAATTTAAGGAGTTAAGATGGTCTAAAAATGCAGTTACTTTATCTAAAGGTAGAATTGTGAAAGTGTCGTCTACGTACCGCTTGTAGAATCTTGGCTTTATGGGAGAAGTAAGCAGGGCTTTCTCCTCAAAGTCCTCCATGAATATATCGGCAACAATGGGAGATACAGGTGAGCCCATCGCCACACCATCTACTTGCTTGTAGAACTCCTCCTTCCACAATAGGTAGCCAGATGTAAGGCAGTGTCTGAGTAATACTGCATATTCTACGGGCATGTTGTTTTCCTCTAGCCTTCTAGTAACAATCGAGATGCAGTCTTCAACAGGTAGGCATGTGAACAGAGACTGCACATCAAAACTCACCATAGTTTCATTGTCTGCCAGATGTAGGTCTTTAATCTCGCTGACAAAATGGTAGGAATCCTTTGTGTGTGCTCTTGTATGTCCCTTGAGCGGTGAGAGTATATTCGCTAAGTGTTGAGCCAATCTATAAGTTGGTGAATCGATTTGGCTCACTATAGGACGTAGTGGAGCATTGGGCTTGTGTATTTTTGGTAACCCATACAACTTCGGTGGTTTAGCACACGTAGGTATTATCGATTTTACGTCTAGATTTAATTTTTCGGAGTGTTTCTTTATGAGATCACTAGTTGTTTTAAGTGTGTTATTTGTTGGGTCATTTTTAACCTTTTTATACGTACTTGCATCCGACAAAAGTTCTTGTATTTTAGAATTATAATCTGACGTATCCATAACTACCGTGGCATTTCCCTTATCTGCGCGGAGAATCGTGAGTTCTGGTTTATTGCGTAGGTTAGTCAACGCTTTGAATTCGTCTTTAGGTAGATTCGGTTTTGGCGCTGAACTTCGACGTAACATAGACGAAATGTCTTGACGTATCGCTTCCAAATCCTCCTTTTGCATATTGTTTTTAAATAAACAGTCCTCGACACTACAGATAATTTGTTCGTACGGTAATTTTTTCGGTGTTATAGCAAAATTAAGACCTTTCGATAATACTCTAATTGTTGCATCATCCAGAGTTTGTTTAGACAGATTATAGACCGCGTTTAATCTATGATCCGCGTTCCTAGTCGACGGTTGCGTTTCGTTCTCACGTCGACACAGATGTTTGACATTTAATTTGGTCGTTAATTTTTGATATTTTATTATATGTTTGTTTTTGCATTCATTATATTTATTAATTTCTCGTTTATTTAACGTTTCGATGCAAACATTATAATCAAATGTCGTTAAAACTGCCTTTAAATCACTGAATGATGTGTCTATGGATTTGTTTATGGTATGTAGATCGGAGCGTTTTTGTTGGATTACCGTTCGTAACAACTTTTTACTTGCCTCATTTAAGATCTTAGCGCTTCCTCGAATGTCCTTTTTAGTGGATATTTTGACACACGTAGGGATGATATTATTATCACGACAGCGTTTTAAAAAGTTTAATGCTGTTATATATCTTGCGCGCTTAGTCACGAGATCTTCTAATCGGCGAATTTTATTTGCAATTACCAGTCCGTACTGGTTCACATAATGATTTCTTATATTTACGCGAACACTACACATTTAAATAAAACTAATTTTACGGATTTTATCGCGTATATTAACTTATTTTACTTTCCCGACGTTTCAAGCACTTTACAGCACCCATGGTCACGGGGGGGACTGAGGTGTATGACGTCCCAATGTCATAGTTAACCACGGCTACCTCCAGATTAAAAATTATTAATTTTTGTTCCGATCTACGCAGTATGAACTTACAGTATCATGAAGTCTTGCAGTTGTATGCTTGGGTTGGGATTTAATTTTATTAATTATGGGATCCCAAGCAGATGGTAGCACCCAGCCATCTTCTCTATTGAAATTAGGATGTTTTTTGATTTCAATAGCCTCGCGAATCATCCTTGGAAGGAATCGGTGTTCTTTAGCGAGGATTTGTGGTCTATCAAATCTAATGTAGTGACGGGGGCGATCCTGTACGTGTTCACAGACTGCAGACTTCCCGGAGCGTCTATTCTTCACATCAGCTATGTGTTCTTTAACGCGGGTTTTTATGGATCTTTTAGTTTGTCCTATATAAGAGAGACCACATTCACAATCCAGCTTGTACACTCCTGCATCTTGCAGAGGAATATTACACTTGACTGATGGTAAAAACTGACTAATCTTCTTCGGCGGCTTGAAATATGTTTTAATGGAAGCACGCTTCAAGATGTAGCCAATCTTGTCAGTGACACCTCTGACATATGGCAGTACAGCAGGCACTCGCTCGACTGTGGCCGGCTTCACTCGTTCACTGTGACGTAGGCGCGGGACCCGAAGCTTATTGTCGTGCAAAACTTGCTTGACGTGTTGGAGCTCGGCGGCCAGGTGTTTACTGTCACAGATCCCTCGTGCTCTCTGAAACAAAGATTTACCCACGGTAGCTAACTGTGAAGGATGGTGGTGAGAATCACCGTTTAAATATCTATCTGTATGGGTCTTTTTTCTATACACAGTGTGGCTCAAGGTGTTATCAGGATTCCGAATTACTAACACATCTAGAAAAGCTAAAGAATTGTTTGCCTCTAACTCCATTGTGAACTGAATTTTAGAATTTAAGGAGTTAAGATGGTCTAAAAATGCAGTTACTTTATCTAAAGGTAGAATTGTGAAAGTGTCGTCTACGTACCGCTTGTAGAATCTTGGCTTTATGGGAGAAGTAAGCAGGGCTTTCTCCTCAAAGTCCTCCATGAATATATCGGCAACAATGGGAGATACAGGTGAGCCCATCGCCACACCATCTACTTGCTTGTAGAACTCCTCCTTCCACAATAGGTAGCCAGATGTAAGGCAGTGTCTGAGTAATACTGCATATTCTACGGGCATGTTGTTTTCCTCTAGCCTTCTAGTAACAATCGAGATGCAGTCTTCAACAGGTAGGCATGTGAACAGAGACTGCACATCAAAACTCACCATAGTTTCATTGTCTGCCAGATGTAGGTCTTTAATCTCGCTGACAAAATGGTAGGAATCCTTTGTGTGTGCTCTTGTATGTCCCTTGAGCGGTGAGAGTATATTCGCTAAGTGTTGAGCCAATCTATAAGTTGGTGAATCGATTTGGCTCACTATAGGACGTAGTGGAAGCATTGGGCTTGTGTATTTTTGGTAACCCATACAACTTCGGTGGTTTAGCACACGTAGGTATTATCGATTTTACGTCTAGATTTAATTTTTCGGAGTGTTTCTTTATGAGATCACTAGTTGTTTTAAGTGTGTTATTTGTTGGGTCATTTTTAACCTTTTTATACGTACTTGCATCCGACAAAAGTTCTTGTATTTTAGAATTATAATCTGACGTATCCATAACTACCGTGGCATTTCCCTTATCTGCGCGGAGAATCGTGAGTTCTGGTTTATTGCGTAGGTTAGTCAACGCTTTGAATTCGTCTTTAGGTAGATTCGGTTTTGGCGCTGAACTTCGACGTAACATAGACGAAATGTCTTGACGTATCGCTTCCAAATCCTCCTTTTGCATATTGTTTTTAAATAAACAGTCCTCGACACTACAGATAATTTGTTCGTACGGTAATTTTTTCGGTGTTATAGCAAAATTAAGACCTTTCGATAATACTCTAATTGTTGCATCATCCAGAGTTTGTTTAGACAGATTATAGACCGCGTTTAATCTATGATCCGCGTTCCTAGTCGACGGTTGCGTTTCGTTCTCACGTCGACACAGATGTTTGACATTTAATTTGGTCGTTAATTTTTGATATTTTATTATATGTTTGTTTTTGCATTCATTATATTTATTAATTTCTCGTTTATTTAACGTTTCGATGCAAACATTATAATCAAATGTCGTTAAAACTGCCTTTAAATCACTGAATGATGTGTCTATGGATTTGTTTATGGTATGTAGATCGGAGCGTTTTTGTTGGATTACCGTTCGTAACAACTTTTTACTTGCCTCATTTAAGATCTTAGCGCTTCCTCGAATGTCCTTTTTAGTGGATATTTTGACACACGTAGGGATGATATTATTATCACGACAGCGTTTTAAAAAGTTTAATGCTGTTATATATCTTGCGCGCTTAGTCACGAGATCTTCTAATCGGCGAATTTTATTTGCAATTACCAGTCCGTACTGGTTCACATAATGATTTCTTATATTTACGCGAACACTACACATTTAAATAAAACTAATTTTACGGATTTTATCGCGTATATTTACTTATTTTACTTTCCCGACGTTTCAAGCACTTTACAGCACCCATGGTCACGGGGGGGACTGAGGTGTATGACGTCCCAATGTCATAGTTAACCACGGCTACCTCCAGATTAAAAATTATTAATTTTTGTTCCGATCTACGCAGTATGAACTTACAGTATCATGAAGTCTTGCAGTTGTATGCTTGGGTTGGGATTTAATTTTATTAATTATGGGATCCCAAGCAGATGGTAGCACCCAGCCATCTTCTCTATTGAAATTAGGATGTTTTTTGATTTCAATAGCCTCGCGAATCATCCTTGGAAGGAATCGGTGTTCTTTAGCGAGGATTTGTGGTCTATCAAATCTAATGTAGTGACGGGGGCGATCCTGTACGTGTTCACAGACTGCAGACTTCCCGGAGCGTCTATTCTTCACATCAGCTATGTGTTCTTTAACGCGGGTTTTTATGGATCTTTTAGTTTGTCCTATATAAGAGAGACCACATTCACAATCCAGCTTGTACACTCCTGCATCTTGCAGAGGAATATTACACTTGACTGATGGTAAAAACTGACTAATCTTCTTCGGCGGCTTGAAATATGTTTTAATGGAAGCACGCTTCAAGATGTAGCCAATCTTGTCAGTGACACCTCTGACATATGGCAGTACAGCAGGCACTCGCTCGACTGTGGCCGGCTTCACTCGTTCACTGTGACGTAGGCGCGGGACCCGAAGCTTATTGTCGTGCAAAACTTGCTTGACGTGTTGGAGCTCGGCGGCCAGGTGTTTACTGTCACAGATCCCTCGTGCTCTCTGAAACAAAGATTTACCCACGGTAGCTAACTGTGAAGGATGGTGGTGAGAATCACCGTTTAAATATCTATCTGTATGGGTCTTTTTTCTATACACAGTGTGGCTCAAGGTGTTATCAGGATTCCGAATTACTAACACATCTAGAAAAGCTAAAGAATTGTTTGCCTCTAACTCCATTGTGAACTGAATTTTAGAATTTAAGGAGTTAAGATGGTCTAAAAATGCAGTTACTTTATCTAAAGGTAGAATTGTGAAAGTGTCGTCTACGTACCGCTTGTAGAATCTTGGCTTTATGGGAGAAGTAAGCAGGGCTTTCTCCTCAAAGTCCTCCATGAATATATCGGCAACAATGGGAGATACAGGTGAGCCCATCGCCACACCATCTACTTGCTTGTAGAACTCCTCCTTCCACAATAGGTAGCCAGATGTAAGGCAGTGTCTGAGTAATACTGCATATTCTACGGGCATGTTGTTTTCCTCTAGCCTTCTAGTAACAATCGAGATGCAGTCTTCAACAGGTAGGCATGTGAACAGAGACTGCACATCAAAACTCACCATAGTTTCATTGTCTGCCAGATGTAGGTCTTTAATCTCGCTGACAAAATGGTAGGAATCCTTTGTGTGTGCTCTTGTATGTCCCTTGAGCGGTGAGAGTATATTCGCTAAGTGTTGAGCCAATCTATAAGTTGGTGAATCGATTTGGCTCACTATAGGACGTAGTGGAAGCATTGGGCTTGTGTATTTTTGGTAACCCATACAACTTCGGTGGTTTAGCACACGTAGGTATTATCGATTTTACGTCTAGATTTAATTTTTCGGAGTGTTTCTTTATGAGATCACTAGTTGTTTTAAGTGTGTTATTTGTTGGGTCATTTTTAACCTTTTTATACGTACTTGCATCCGACAAAAGTTCTTGTATTTTAGAATTATAATCTGACGTATCCATAACTACCGTGGCATTTCCCTTATCTGCGCGGAGAATCGTGAGTTCTGGTTTATTGCGTAGGTTAGTCAACGCTTTGAATTCGTCTTTAGGTAGATTCGGTTTTGGCGCTGAACTTCGACGTAACATAGACGAAATGTCTTGACGTATCGCTTCCAAATCCTCCTTTTGCATATTGTTTTTAAATAAACAGTCCTCGACACTACAGATAATTTGTTCGTACGGTAATTTTTTCGGTGTTATAGCAAAATTAAGACCTTTCGATAATACTCTAATTGTTGCATCATCCAGAGTTTGTTTAGACAGATTATAGACCGCGTTTAATCTATGATCCGCGTTCCTAGTCGACGGTTGCGTTTCGTTCTCACGTCGACACAGATGTTTGACATTTAATTTGGTCGTTAATTTTTGATATTTTATTATATGTTTGTTTTTGCATTCATTATATTTATTAATTTCTCGTTTATTTAACGTTTCGATGCAAACATTATAATCAAATGTCGTTAAAACTGCCTTTAAATCACTGAATGATGTGTCTATGGATTTGTTTATGGTATGTAGATCGGAGCGTTTTTGTTGGATTACCGTTCGTAACAACTTTTTACTTGCCTCATTTAAGATCTTAGCGCTTCCTCGAATGTCCTTTTTAGTGGATATTTTGACACACGTAGGGATGATATTATTATCACGACAGCGTTTTAAAAAGTTTAATGCTGTTATATATCTTGCGCGCTTAGTCACGAGATCTTCTAATCGGCGAATTTTATTTGCAATTACCAGTCCGTACTGGTTCACATAATGATTTCTTATATTTACGCGAACACTACACATTTAAATAAAACTAATTTTACGGATTTTATCGCGTATATTTACTTATTTTACTTTCCCGACGTTTCAAGCACTTTACAGCACCCATGGTCACGGGGGGGACTGAGGTGTATGACGTCCCAATGTCATAGTTAACCACGGCTACCTCCAGATTAAAAATTATTAATTTTTGTTCCGATCTACGCAGTATGAACTTACAGTATCATGAAGTCTTGCAGTTGTATGCTTGGGTTGGGATTTAATTTTATTAATTATGG